AGAGAGGGAGAGAGAAACATCCATGAGAAACATCAACATGGATTGGCTGCCTCCTGCATGCCCCCTGCTGGGGAATCGAGCTGGCAAACTAGGCATGTGACCAGACCTGGAATTGAACCAGCAACCTCCTGGTGGTACAGGAGATGCTGCTCAACCACTGAGCAACACCAGCCAGGTGATGGTTAGTTATTAATGCAAGTCTCTATCAATAATATTTATTCAGGGTAAGTGAATGCATTTTCAAATAAAGACAGAAAGAGTTTTACTCAGAAAACATATTTAACAATAATGTTCTCTAGAGATAAATATAATGGATAGCAAAACGTATGTATATGTATATCTACTTGTATGTGGATCTACATATATGTACATAGGTACGTATATATCTTAAAGATATAGAATATTTCTGCTCAGAATGACAGACCCAATTCATATTTATTTTATTTAGAAGTGTTTAAACAATGGTAATCTCAATTGGTTGTGTAAATGATACAGTAAATTTTATGACTGGTGATAGCTTAAATGAGAAAGTAAAAAAAAAAATCAAAGGTTTTTGAACACAAATTCTTACTCAGTGATTTCATAAGTAGAATAAAGTGTAGATTTTTAAAAAATATATATATTTTATTGATTTTTTCAGTGAAGGATAGAGAGTTAGAAACATCAATGAGAGAGAATCATCGATCAGCTGCCTCCTGCACACTCCCCACTGGGGGTGTGCCCACAACCAAGGCAAGTGCCCTTGACCGGAATCGAACCTGGGATCTTTTAGTCCGCAGGCTGATGCTCTACTCACTGAGCCAAACCGATTTTGGCAATTTTTTGAAATTTATTTTGTTTTAAATATGATAGTAAAGACCAGTTTGATATGGTCAAACAAATACATGTGTCTTATAATAGTAACTTTCCAAGTAAAATTTGAGAATAACGGCATAATTCTTATAGTGATCTTTAGATCTGGTGTGTATGGGTAAAAAAGCCTGAAGTAGGCAAGATTACTGAAAACGGCAGAGTAATTCTGAGTAAAAGAGTAGGTGTTGAAAGCTGGCTTTTAGATATATAAGAAGAAACATGCAAAGAAAGCTAAATCCTAATTTTATCAGAAGCCAAAAGACAGAAAAAGTTTGTAAATATATCATCAGGGAAACATATGGACAGGAACTGCTTTATAAATACATTCTATTATATCCTCAAGCCATAACATGAACTCAAAAGTGGAAAGAGAGGAATGTTATTCACAAAATCCAAGGTAATGTCATTGCAGTCATGTTTAAGAACTCTGTTGTTAGAAACTAGTACAAAGAATAACAGAGAAGTTAAAAGGTAAAAACATTAAGTTTGTTCATGCTCAAAATTATGGCTATATTTAATAATAATGACAGAAAGGTACTCTAAAAGACAATTTTAAAGAAAAGTTATTGAATCTATTAGTTATTTTAACTGGAATTTCACAAGCGTGTAATACAAGGCAGATGCAGCATTATTCAGGCTGGTCAAATAATTTTTTAGTTAAAGCATGCTTAAAAGTACTCTTTGTTTGGTGGAAAAAAGGATTGAAGGCTGCCACACAAAGCAAAATGGGATGCTTAGTATCTCCATGTCATTCTCCAGCATTTATAATGGGAAGAGGAATAGAGTGAGTTAAGGCAAACAGACCAAACAGGCAAAATGCAGAAATTAAATCAAACTGTAATTACAATTCTTTTCTGAAATGAATACATAAATCAAAATAGTGCAAAATGAAGTGCAAGGAGTGAATATACCAGCTGGAGAAGGTTAGGGAGGATTTTTTTTTTTTTTTACAATGGTATTAAATAAACATCATGTAACATGCTACACATATTGGATTTGCGTTAATGGTTAGCTTAAACAGAGAGGCAGAGGAAAGCAGAAACATAAACATCTACAACCAAAAACATGACAAAGAAACAGCACTGCAAACCTTAAAACAGTTAGGAATCGAGGGTCAGGGACCTACCAACACAGAATTATCCAACAAGATCTCCTGCACAAAAACAAATGACAGACCAGTCAAGACAACACTAAAAGATAAATGCTAGGATGACTTTGACAATACAAATGTTGATAGAGCTCTATCATTAAAACTGGCTTAGCTTCAGCTTTAAAAATATGCCATAAATACTTCATTTTCCCACTTAAAGTATGAACTGAGCCAAGATTTTGAAAAAAGTCAATTCAAGATGCAAAGATATAAAATATAAAATAATTAAAAATGTAAGTTTGTATAAAATGGTGGTGGTGGTTGTTTTTATCTCTCATTAAGCTGCAGTAATAAAACCAGATCAAGTAGACACGAGTGTGACAGGAGTGATCTGGATTGCATTCACATGAACAGGTGTCTGGCAAGGGACAGAGTTAATGGTTTATCTCATCACAAGTTAATTATAGATTTTATTTTTAACCCTTGGAAGCCAAATTTTAAAACAGAGTACTCAGAATTGCTAGTGTAGCTACGGTTAAGTTCAGAATAGAAGTTAAATAGCATGCAGTTAGAATAAAGTCCTTTACACTAGATTTTTTAAACAAAAATCTTTGGTAAAAGTATTGCATATGTTTCCTTTTTTCCCCCCCGTAAGATTTTTTCTTAATGATGAAAGGTATTCTGAATATTCAGAGAGTTTCAATCAATATGAAAACACTTCACGCTAAATAATTAAATTCTTTGTAGAAAAGAAAATCTGATTGTGAAGTTGTTAAAACAGGAAAGCAAAATCTATTTCAAACTACAGGGAATATTCTAAAATGTAATACTAAATTCAATCTAATAAATTTAGAATAAAAATATTAATACACAAAATTAACATATTATAGTGACAGCAATTTTTAATAGGGTTTCTGTAAAAGGAAAAAATCATTTTACAGCTTAATGTTATAACTAACATGAATAAGATTTGTAATTGTTACTTCTAATTTTCTCAAATGCTCTGAATGTATCCACAAGGAAAATCTGACGATGATCTCTATTCTTTTATACATGTATGTAAGCCTTCTTGTCTAATAAAATAATGAGTTTGATGACTTTGAACTTTATTTAATAAATGAATTCAAATAAAGTTAAAGAAGATTAAAAAGGCTATTACTGGAAATTGCCTACTATAATTTAAAAAGAAAAAATAATGGCGGTATCACTATATTTGAATGGAGAGTAAAAGTTAGACCAAGTTGTAAAACAGTAGATATTTTTCAATAATTGGTTTTGGTAATGGATCTTTAAATATAAAAGCAGTATTCCTGGGGAAAAGTCATTGAGAAGCAAAGGTAAAATCCTTTTCTATTTTCCTGTGCTATTTTCTCTAACACATGTTTGGTTCCAGGAACCAAAGTTTCCACCAGAAAAGTCAGTCATATCCTCTTTCTAAAGAGTCTTACATAATTATGATTATCAAAATCAATATGAAGATAAAATAATCTATATTTAAGTTATATACTAAGAAAATAAAAACAACTGCTACTTAATAATTGGTTATTAGGTGCCTGAGACATGCACTTCCATAGGCAGCATCTTGTGTGATTATTGTGTTTTACAGACAAGGGAGCTGAGGCTGGAAGGCGTTACAGGGTGTCCCTAAAGCCGCCTAAAGAGGAGGTGGCAGAGCTGGGAGCTATTCATAACCACAAAGTCCGTCTGAAATAATGAAATGAGGACTGGACAAGAAGTCCAGGAACCTGGCTCCTAGACTTAGAGGTACTACTGACTAGTCAAATTATTTGAATTTTTGGTCCTCAGTTTATCTTTTCATTGAGAACACTGGTTTTAACAATGTTTGAGGAGCTTTCAAGTCTGAAATGCTGCACATTTTGCCTCAATCTTGAAAATGAAAGATCTTTCTACATAAAGTAATAGTTCTCAGCTATCGTGGTACTAATGCAAGTGTGCTATGAACACTGCAAGGGCAGAAAAAGTTTTCATTCCAACAGTAACAATTTTTGAGGCAAGTCCAGACAGAAACTGATGATGCAAAGGTAAATCTTAAAACCACTGATGATTATGAAGCACCTCCTGCTTTCATTAGACACATTAGGAGAACCAAGACATTGGCATAATATACTGCTAGGTTATTAAGGAAAAATGTTATGTGTCCATCTGGGATGGAAAGAACTTTGTATGTAGTAATTTGGAATAGAAAAAGAAGAGGGAAAAAAGGTTAGCACAAAATTTTCCATGTCCTATAGTATTTATATAGTACCTGGGATATTTAAGCCATGCAACATATGCTTATTGATTAATAAATGAATATTCAAAACATTAAGTTCAACATTAATGGGGAAAAAATCAATATGAGAGATTTAAGATGTGATTATATAAAAATTGGCCCCTCAGTTCCTCAAAAGGAACAGAACTGAGAGAAAATAGCTATTTACATGGTCTAGAGAATAATAAAATGAATCTATTTCCAATAAAAGAAACTAAAAAACTCATAATTTTATACTCACACAGAGGCAGCTGACCAGGCTAGACAAGTTGACATGTCGTGGAGCAAACATATGAAGCTGCTGAAGGCAAGAGATGGCCTGAGCTTGAACAAGGCAGTCTGGGTTATCTTGCATCACTGCACAACCCAACAGACAGGACGTCCTCAAGGTAGAAACTGAAGTACTGCTACCTAAAATGAAAGCAGAAGGTTTTCAATAATTAGCCAATGAAACCATGTCTCTTTTTCCAATTTTAAATTTAAGAACTTATGAAATAAATTTCTTCTACAAAAGCAGGAATAATCCAGCTGAAAGATTTTTAGATTAGTTATTCTTAGTCTGAAAGGTTTTTGACAACACAAATCATTAGGTAAAGAAAAACTTAAGACTGTAGATTATATCAATTTGTTATGAAAAGCAGAAATAGAAATTGCTGCCGAAACCGGTTTGGCTCAATGGATAGAGTGTCGGCTTGGGGACTGAAAGGTCCCACGTTCGATTCTGGTCAAGAGTATGTACCTTGGTTGTGGGCATATCTCCAGTAGGGGGTGTGCAAGAGGCAGCTGATCGATGATTCTCATCGATGTTTCTAACTCTCTCTCTCTCCCCCTTCCTCTCTGTACAAAATCAATAAAATATATTAAAAAAAAAAAAAGAAATTGCTAATAAACTTAGCCCTACTTGTATTAGTTGAGAGTTGCTTTCATATAGTTATATTAACATCATATATTGTGCATTTGAACAGATTGGGATAGCTGAGTTTTCAGATGCAGTCATTTATTTCTTAAGAGAGATTAAGAGTTCTTTAAACTATTCTACTTCATGTCTGTTATTTTAATTGTTAAAAGAAGCATTTTTAGGAAATATCAAATCTCTCTAAATATGTACCCTTGTCTTTTCAAGGGAAGAGAATCAGACTGAATGGTATTTATTTAGCAAGATACAATCCTGAGCACCCACTACATGCCAATAACGAAGGCTTTCAACTTTCTCTCCATTTGATAGAGGAGAAAACCAAAACCCAGAGATGTAAGAATTTCAACAATGTCACCCAATTAAGTAGTGGTAGAGCTTAAAGTAAGTATATTAGTTTCTATGTTATTTTTCTATCAAGCCATCATCCAGGATTCAAGATCTTCCCAACAATACTCCCAACATTCTGCCAATATATTTGAATAGAACATTCTGTTGAACTTCACTTCACTTCAATGACAAGCATTTGAGTCAGTCATAGAAATTGAACTCATTTTTATATGTGTATTTTCCAGGTAAAACATCCCAAAAAACAGCTATGCATACCTTGTAGCTCTGGACCTAATGTAGTAATAAGGGCATTCAAACAACGACCGAGACTTTGGTGGACTTCAGCATGAGTAGGAGGCACATTTAACAACAACATTATAATAAGAGAAAGGGTAGGTTCCACATGCATATAATAGAGTGGGCCCGCAGAATCAATGATCAATGACAGAGAGTGTAGTGCCCAGGTCTGTGAAGACAGAAAAAAAAAAAAAATTAAAATGCTACAACAACATTAAGAAACATAAAAAAACAATGAATTATTATTTTGTTGAAGCAAGTGATAAAGTAATGGCAAAGTAAAGTATTCGTATGCTACTTCTAATTTGGAAAGAGAAATGAAGAACTTTATTTATTTATTTAAAATGAAGAACTTTAAAAGTTTAAGAAAATCTTTCTTTAACTACCTAGTAAAAAACAACTGAGAGACAATCATCTAATTTAGAATGGTATATTTAGACATATCTCAGCACTAAGAATTCCAAGATAATTTTGATTCTTTAGCTAACAGCTTGAGCTAAATCTATTTTGTTGAAAATTGTTTATTGATTAATCTATATAGAGAATGAAAATTCAAGTTTTTAAAAGATTCAACAAAATCTACAACTACATGCCATAAAATGAACAAATTTCTCAAAAACAATGTTGAAAAAGCCAGACGTGAAAAAGTACATACTATATGACTCCACTGATATAAAATACATAAAAGCAGGCAAAACTAGTATGTGTTGTTGCAAATTAGGATAATGGTTATCCTTGGTAGGACAGGCAGTAACTAGAAAAGAACACGAGGACAGTATTTGGGGTACCAATATTCTGTTTATTAATCTAGATGTTGGACACATTGTATTCAGTTTGAGACTTGATTCACAGAGATGAACACTATGACAGGTGCACTTTTATAAATATATTTATAAGATAAATACATAAAAATAAATATATACTTATATATTAAACAAACAAATCAAATGCCCTCAAGACAAATCTGGTCTTCCACCTGTTTTTATAAATGAAGTTTTTCTGAAACACAATTATGGCCCTAGCCAGTTTGGCTCAGTGGATAGAGCGTTGGCCTGTGGACTGAAGGATCCTAGGTTCGATTCCAGTCAAGGGCACATGCCTGGGTTGTGGGCTCAATCCCTAGTGGGGGGCATGCAGGAGGCAGTTGATCAATGATTTTCTCTCATCGTTGGTATTTCTATCTCTCTCTCCCTCTCCCTTCCTTTCTGAAATCAATAAAAAAATATTAAAAAAACGAAACACAATTATGCTCATTCATTTATATATTACTTATGGCTGCTTTCCTGCTACAATAGCATAATTGAGCAGTGACAGAGACTATATGACTAAATAGTTTACTATCTGACCCTTTATAGAATAAACATGCCAACTCTGGTTTAAATGAAACAAGTCTGGCCATGTAATGATAACCACTGAAGTCAGATAATGGGTATAATAGATTCTTTATAGGATACTCTCAACTTTTATGTATGTTTTAATTTTCCAAAATAAGTATATAAAAATTTCTTCCTTCAGGAAACCAACTTAGAAAGTTTTACTGCTTTAATCAATGGATGCATAAAAAAGTGTATAGTACTTTAAATGTAATTAAAAAGGAAATTCTGTTAAGTGAGAGAGAGCAGCAATCAAGAAGAATCAGATTTGATGATACTGGAAGCCATGGAAAGAAACCCTTTATCAACAAAAAGTGTTCAATATAAAAGTATGTACATTCAGAACAGGCTTCTTAATATGAAGTTTGACAAGAAGGTAGTTAGACTGGATCTTAAAATACTAAAATGTTTGGATTGTCAGATAGGAATAAGGAGAAGAGCAGCAGGAAAAAGAGAAGAGCAGATATGAGAATGATATGTGTGGGATAAAAGCAGGTAGATCATCTATAGGAGAATACCAATACTTGGGTAATAAGAGAGAAGATTCCTGGGTCAGCTAATGAAACTTGAGTGAGATATTGATCTAAGAAGCAAAAAACAGTTTTGTAGCTTTTCAGTAGGGAAGTGGCAAGATGAAAGACTTTCAGGAAAATAAATTTGGCTTCACATCTAGGGAGAGTTGAAAAGAACCTAAAAGTAAAATGACCAGGTAGGAGGCTACTATCTAAATTTATAAAAGCCTAAGTGACGGGCCAACCAGTACTATGACACACACTGACTACCAGGGGGCAGATGCTTAATGCAGGAGTGGAAACCACCGGCATAGAACAGATGGATGAATCTCAGCGGGATGGGGGTAGGGGGTGGGGCAGGAAGAGATCAACCAAAGATCTTATATGCATACTAGAAGCCTGGTGTATGGATTCGTGCACCAGTGGGGTCCCTTGGCCTGGTCTGTGCCCTCTTGCAATCTGGACCCCTCAGAGAATGTCAGAGAGCCATGTGGCCTGATCTCTACAGGCCAAGCTGAGGGACCCCACCAGTGCATGAATCCTCTAGTCCTATATAATAAAGAGGTAATATGCAAATTAACCCTCAGCCCTCACAAGATGGCTGCCTAAGACCTGGCCAGCAGGGAAGTTAGTGAGGGATGACCAAACGACTAAACAGCAGGCTGTGAGGCATGACCAGACCAGTGAGGGGTGGGGTAGTTGGGGGCGACCAGGCCAGCAGGGGGGACAGTTGGGGGTTATTAGGCTGGCAGGGGGCAGTGAAGGGCAACTAGGCCAGTGGAGGGGGCAGTTGGGGCAACCAGGCTGGTACAGGGGGTAGTAAAAGGTGGACAAGCCAGCGGGGGAGGGGGGGTGAGGCAGTTAGGGATAACCAAACAGGCAGGCAGGTGAGCAATTAGGAGCCAGCAGTCCAGGATTGTGAAAGGGATGTCCAACTGCCAGTTTAGCCCCGATCCCTGAGATCGGGCCTAAACTGGCAATTGGACATCCCCCAAGGGATCCCTGATTGGAGAGGGTGCAGGCTGGGCTGAGGAGACATCTCCCACACCCCTCCCACCATGCACGAAGTTTGTGCATTGGGCCTCTAGTAGTAAATAAAGTCATACAGGAGCCTTGGCTAGATTGCTCAGTTGGTTGAAGCGTCATCCAGATGTGCTAAGGTTACAGATTTGATTCCTGGTCAGGGCGCATACAGGAGGCAACCAATAATGCATCAATAGATGGAACAATAAGTCAATGTTTCTCTTTCTCTCCTCCCCCCTCAAATCAATTAAAAAAAAAAAAGACAGGAAACCAAGATGAGGAAAGCAAAAGAGCAGGAAGAGTAACAATCATTCAGGATTTGATTAAAGTATCAGGAAAATGATAATTTCAACAGAATTGGGTAAGCTATATACAACAATATGGCAAAGTGGTTAAGAACATGAATTTGGAGTCCATGACTTGTGTTTGTTTTTTTTTTTGTATGTGTGTTTTTGTTTTTTTTTAATATATTTTATAGATTTTCCAGAGAGAGGAAGGGAGAGGGATAGAGAGCTAGAAACATCGATGAGAGAGAAACATCGACAAGCTGCCTCCTGCACACCCCCTACCTGGGATGTGCCCACAACCAATATATATGCCCTTGACTGGAATTGAACCTGGGACCCCCAATCTGCAGCCGACGCTCTATCACTGAGCCAAACCAGCTTCGGCTCTTTTTTTTTTTTTTTTTTTTAAATATATATTTTATTGATTTTTTTTTACAGGAGAGAGATAGAAAGTTAGAAACATTGATGATAGAGAAACATTGATCAATTGCCTCCTGCACATCCCCTACTGGGGATGTGCCTACATCCAAGGCACATGCTCTTGCCTGGAATAGAACCTGGGACCCCTCAATCCACAGGCCGAGCTTTATCCAACTGAGATAAACCGGTCAGGGCATGACTTGTGTTCTTAACCTGGGTTACTTAATTTCTGTAAGCCTCAATTTTCTTTCTGTATAATGAGAATATATACCCTAGGTTACTATGAAGAGAAAATATATTAATATGTTTAGAAGAATATAATACAATGTCTGCTACCTATTAAGCTCTTCAAAGTAATTGATCTTATTATTAAGATGACAGATTCATTCACAGAAAAAGATATTGAACTTGACTTTAGACACTGAGTGTGGAAAAGAGATTTAAATTTTAAAAATCCATCATGGTTAAAATGGCTTTAATATTTACTAGAAGCGGGCCCTAGCCTGTCTGGTTCAGTGGATAGAGCATCAGTCTGCAGACTGAAGGGTCCTGCATTTGATTCTGGTCAAGAGCAATACCCAAGTTGTGGGCTCAATCTCCAGTATGGGGTGTGCATAAACATCATTAATGTTTCTGTCTCTCTCTCTCTCCTTCTCCCTTCCCCTCCCCTCTGAAATCAATGAAAATATATTTAAAAAAATATTTACTATGAGAGGGGAATTTTTTACAAACTAGAGGCCTGGTGCACAAAATTCTTGCACTCAGGGGAGGGGGTCTCTCATGTGCACTTAATTCATGCACTCGGAAGTGGGGGGGTGGTCCCCTCAGCCCGGCCTGTGCCCTCCCATAGTATGGGAGCCATCAGTCGTACATCCTTAGGGCTCTTGCCACCACTGCTGCACTCACCAGCCATGAGCCCGGCTTCTGGCTGAGCGGCACTCCCTCTGTGGGAGCACAATGACCATCAGGGGGCAGCTCCTGCACTGAACGTCTGCCTCCTGGTGGTCAGTGTGCATCATAACAACTGGTCTTTCTGCCGTTTGGCCGATTTGCATATTAGTCTTCTATTATATAGGATTACTAATGATCAATAAAAACCTAATTTGCAAATCATGAATTTCAAGGAGGATATCACATGGAGTTCTTACCTGCACATCAGGAGATGTACTGTCCTGAGACAAAGTATATAGGATTCCTATACAAGAATTCAAATGTTGAGAACTTATTCCTCCTAAATACCTATGGAGGGATCCCAAAGCCAATGAATGCCCTGTTCTGGTAACCACGTCCCTTGCTGATTTCAGTCTGTAATTATGGAAATAAAAATATATGGTAACCACTGAAGCAAAAATATATAACAATCACTGCATGATACTGTCATTTACACAAAACTTTTTGTATTAATAGATCCAAAATTCAGAAATGTATTTACTGCTAAATAATAAAAAAAAATTTCTGAAATAACCAGATAGGTATCTTGCAAAGAAAAACATTTTAAATAAAAATATCTTCATGTTATTATAGATTATTTAAGTAAAAGCAATTTCAATGTCTTTCAGAGATATATACACACTAAATTTATATGGAGGACATTGTTACTTTATTAAATTACATTTCAAAAACATTGCTGAGATATGTTAATTCTACAGAGAGAGTTCAACTCAAGAACTTTTATTTTAAAATTAAATATAATAGGATAAATTAATATACGAGAAATTTTCTATGTATTGTACACTAATTTAAATGCTTTACATTTAGTCTTTTAAACCTCCCTACTTTGAGATCCATACTATTATCAATTCCTTTTTACATACGAGGAAACCCAAATAGGATAGCCAAAGTATCTCTTACAAAGTAGCCAACTATTAAATGGAAGAGTTGGGATTTGAACCAAATTAGTAATCTGACTCCAGACTCTTAACCAAATATGACACATATTCAGCAGACTAGAAGGTCAAAGTGCTGCTGCACTTCTACCATCACTACTAATGTAACTTTATGTATTTACATATATTACCAATCTAACCATAAACTTTTATTTGTATTTTTTTAAAAATCACTTTCTTATTTATTATCTCATTTACCTTAACATTCTTTAAATAGGCAGGGTAGTATTAACAACCTTCTATACCCAGTTTTGAGCCTAGGAATATTAAATAAGAAATTCACTTACTTGTCAAAGCTAACTTGAGCTAACGAAGCAGTAAAAGGTCCATCGTCAACCACTTGGGCTAACCTAGCCCATGCCTCTGCAGCTGCACATCTCAAGAGGGGGTTGGGACTTTCTAAGGCTCCTGTCACTAATGCTAGGGCAGGTCTTCTCATTTCTTCTGGACCCAAACTTCCCTTGGAGCCAGCCACATACTGAAATATGCAAAGAACAACCCAAACTTAGAATTGCAGTGAATTTTATCTAATTTGGAACATATGTTCTGATTAACCAAATGTGTTCATACTTGGATTACTACTTTTAAAAAATCAGAACATAAAAACTCCACTGAACATAATTTGATTTTTGTGACAAAGTACTTTAGAATTTTAATCCTTCAAACAATGTGTTGATCAATTATCACTGTAGTATATATATATATGTTCAGAAGACTATTAAAAGGGATTTTCCATAAAATATATTATATAACTAATAAAACCTATTATAATTTATTTAGAAATGATAAGTTATAAATGTTAACAATGAGCCAGATTTGGAACATATGCCATAGTCTGCCAATGCCTGGTCTAGGCTATTAGGCTCAGTAGAGTAAGGCATGGTTCCAGTACAAGGTTATCTGACTAACAAGTTTTTTGTGGAGAAAAAGTAAAGGGAAATTATAAATCACAAAACATTTTCATCAGGAGGTTAAGAAAAACTGGGAGGGGGGGGGGAAAACAATGATAGCCCTTTAACAATACCTTTCTCCAACCTACTTAGTTGCTCATACCTTAAAAAAAAAAAAATAAATAAAGCAAACATGAATTTTAAAAAATATATAAAATTACCTTTAAGAAACTGGAAACTGAAGAAACGACATGTAACTGAACTACTTGTTGACGAGCTCCTTTTGTGTGCTTTATACTGTCCAAAAGCTGTTCCAATGTAAGAAGCCTAAAGGCAGAAACAAAATATTTAAAAGCAAATAGAAAAGACAGCATTGTTAACCAACATAAAGTAAGTCAATGGGCAGTACTAAATATCTATTGTTAATTTGTTTTGTTGCATTATTTTGTTGGTACTACTAAAATGATGAACACACTAAAGCATTTTTGGAAAAGAAAATATATCATAACCAATGCAAAAGTATTTTAATTAGGTGTCATTCTGACAGTTGGGGAGAAGCATTATTTTGTGGAAAACAACAATAACAACAAATGGTTGTATCACTTAATGAAGATTTACCTGGGCAAATCCAGCTATTTCAGCAATTATTTTCTAAACAAAGGATAGCTCAGAAACTACTTGCATTGATTTTTTGTTTTTAATAACAGAACTTAATTGGATTCAAACACATTGCTTCATTTTATTTATTTATTTTTTATTTTTTTATTTTAAAAAAAAAATATATTTTATTGATTTTGTACAGAGAAGAAGGGAGAGAGATAGAGAATTAGAAACATCGATGAGAGAGAGTCATCGATCAGCTGCCTCTTGCACACTCCTCACTGGGGATATGCCCGCAACCAAGGTACATGCCCTTAACCGGAATCGAACCCGGGACCCTTCAGTCCCCAAGCCGACACTATCCATTGAGCCAAAAACCGGTCTCGGCTCATTGCTTCATTTTAAAGGTTGCACCAACTTATGTCATCTATTATTTAACGCCTCTCAACTATACTTTAAAAATGTACTTGGGATCATATAATATACAACACAACATTAACTCATGCTTTTCCCATTTTCTCTTGACTATATCCAGGACTGACAGTCCCCAAGTTTTCCCCCATCTTTTAATCCCAAATCCTAATAGATTTCAAAATCAAAACAAAAAATAACATCAACAACAACAAAAAATTCTGAATTTTCAGGAGGATGGAGATGACTTTTTTTCCTTTATAATTTTTTTTTCAATTACAGTTGACATTCAAAATTACATTTATTTCAGAGGTACACAGCGTAATGGTTAAACATTATATAACGTATGAAATGGTAAGTGTCGTACCCACCTGATACCATACATAGTTATTGCCTACATTGACTATATTCTCTATGCTATATTGTATTTGACATCCCCATGACTATTCTGTAACTGCCAATTTGTACTTTTTTTAATTCCCCTTTTACCTTTTCCAACCATTCCACCCATCCCCAACTCCCCTCCCATCTAGCAATGGTCAAAATGTTCTCTGTATCTATGAATCTGTTTCTGTTCTGCTTGTTTTTTAGATTCCACATCATTTGGAATACTATATGATCAACACAGGGGTACATATACCTTTTCAAATTAGTGTTTTGGATTTCTTCAGATAAAAAACCAAAAGTGGAATTGTGGGGTCATAAAGCAGTTCTACTTTTTAATTTTCTGAGGAACTAAGAATGAGCATTCAGTAACACTGAACTGGTCTTTCTAAGTGGTATAAATTAAAACATGTAATTATTGTAATGAAATTAGATACTAAAAGTTTTGAGTATAGTTGAAACAAAAATACATAGTTAACTGAGTAAATAGCAGACACAATATTTGAAAATACTGATTTACTTTATTCTTTCAGGGAGGATGTATAATGGTGAAAAATTTTAATATTGAAAACTATAACTATGCTTTTCCTCTCTCTACATCCTCAACTCGCAATCTACAGCATTTTACAAGCTCTTATAGCAGTGGTTCTTAACCTTGGCAGCTCGTCTGAATTACCTAAGGTGTTAAAAGTTTCAATGCTTCAATGGACACAAAACTCTGGGGAGGGAGGGTATGTATAGGAGGGGGGGACAATGTTAAAATATGTACACAGATAATAATTTAATTAAAAAATCGATAAAATATATAAAAAAAGTTTCAATGCTTAACATAGAATGTACACCATACTATTACATCAGAATCTACTGATTTAAAGAAAGTTGTCCAAATGATTGCAATGTGCAATTGGAAGTGGAACAATGATCAAGTTAATGAATTAATTCATTCTTTGCAATTAGGTGAAAAAAATACATTAAAAGTAACCACAACATTTGTACAAAGTCAGTATTTCTTTTCTGTATAAAATGTTGACATTCTACAAATTTTTTTGTTAATCCTCACCCGAGAATACTTTTCCATTGTTTTACAGAAAGTGGAAGGAGGGAGGGAGAGGGAGAGGGAGACACAGAGAGAGAAACACTACTGTGAGAAACACATCAATATGTTGCCTCCCATATGTGCCCAGACCAACCTACAACCTAGTTATGTGTCCTGATAGGGAATTGAACCTTCAACCTCTTTGGTGCATAGGGTGACATTCCAACCAATTAAGCCACCCGACTAGGTTATGAGTTGAACTTTTAAATTTACATTTTATTTTTTTATATTTTCTAAATCTTCTATTAGTATGTACCGTGTTTCCCCGAAAATAAGACATCCTCCAAAAATAAGACCTATTTACAGGTTTCTTTCTGAGTGAAATATAAGGCATCCCCCAAAAATAAGGCCCCCCTAGGCTAAACATGAGAGATTTGGTCCACTGATTCTGAAAGAAATCGAGTCACAAGAAATTCACCAGGAAATTCAGGAATTGGATTGTTATGATGATGTTCCAGAAGATGATGACATGATTGTCATTGAATAAATGAGTAAATTCTTGATGCTGTAGGATTCACAGTTTGTCTGGTTTGTGTTGACACTACCGTACTACCGTACTGTATACAGGTAATAAATTTCCTTTATTTTCAGTTAACAATAAATGTGTACCGAATTCTTCATGGAAAAATAAGACATCCCTGAAAATAAGACCTAGCACATCTTTGGGAGCAAAAATTAATATAAGACACTGTCTTATTTTCAGGGAAACAGGGTATTACTTTTATAATTAAACAAAATAGATGCTACTATAAATCAATAATTGTGACTTCCCATATACTATAATATAAGAACACAAATAAAATTAAAATTAATATTAGCTATTTTAATTTCAGAAGGGAGGATAAATGATGATAAAAATTTTATTAGTGAGAACTTCTAACAACATTCTTCTTACCCACCCAATTCTACATGATGCATTCATTGAACCAATTGCCAGTCTGGAAATATTACATTTCAGAATGAGTAAACTATTTATTTCGGGGTAAGTGAATTACTGGAGATGGTTTACCTTTGAGCTTCTCCCACATGAGCACATACAACTCCAAAGAGCTTGGCTGCAGAGCTAATCACTGACAGTGCTGGAGGTAGGGGCTTAGGCACCGATTCTCCCCCTACATCTTTCTCATAAACAGAATAGGCGTCGTACTCAAGGCTTCCACAAGTAATACTATTACTAAGCAGGAGCTAAAAGAAAAAAATATATCATGTGATATAAGATTTTAAAACCACTGTTCACACAGGAATGAACTCAAGGGTTATTGAAAATGACCATACCTGTTCCTCAATAAATCTATGGTCAGTCTCTTGTAGCAAAGGACTTAATAACAAAAGATCTTCCTGATGACAGAGGGGTGGAAGTAAAAATGTGGATGCTGCCACCTGTATGTCAGGGCCAGTCAAGTCAGCAGTCAGCTCTTTGAGGATAGCACAGAGGTGTCCTGTTGAGTCAAAGGAGAAAGAACAATTAGTAATTTAGTAATAGCAGTTAGCTGTTTAGAGTATGGGGTTAAAAAAAAAAGCCCAGGTGGAACTTTAATGGTACACACTGGCTAACTTTAATCATCACAGCCAAAGATCAATCTGATCCTAGAAAAATACTGTACAAACGAATAACTCAACCAAATGGGCTACTGGTTGCAAGGCTGACTGGATACTGAAAAGACACACATCTCAATGTATGTGTGTAAACCTTATGATACTACCATCATTTTAAATAAAATGACTTGAAGTACAAAAACAGAATACAAAAGATACGAAAGCTGATAAATTATATTTGTTTAAAAAAATGATGGCCTCACCCTGGCGGTGTGGCTCAATGGTTGAGCATGGACCCATAAACCAGGAGGTGATGGTTAATTCCCAGTCAGGGCACATGCCTGGGTTTCATACCCAGCAGAAGGCAGCTGATTGATAATTCTCTCATCATTGATGTTTCTATCTCTCTCCCTCTCCCTTTGTCTCTCTGAAATCAATAAAAATATATTTTTAAAAAGGTAGCTTCAAAAATATTTATAAATATTAGATATGTTTTTATCATGGAAAATTTCAAACAGATATAAAACCAGACATAATAGTATTATGACACCCCAACTCCCTACAGCTAGCATGATTGTCATTCATCTTGACCAAGTGGGTCAATCTTGTTTCACCTCTACCCTCCTTCACTATCTCAATATTTCCCACATTATTTTGAAGCAAACCCTAGAAAGAATATAATTTCATCTATAAATATTTCACTGTGTATCACTAAAGTTAAGGACATTTAAAATAGTTCACTATTTCCCATATTATTTTGAATGCAAACCCTGGAAAGAATATAATTTCATCTATAAATATTTCATTGTGTATCACTAAAGTTAAGGACATTTTAAATATTTCATGATCATAATATCATATTTTAAAAACCACGAAACAAATATTCATTTAGTTTTTAAATTTTCAGTGGACTCAAATGCCTATTTTTATTTGCTTTTATGTTTGAATCAAGTTCTAAGTAAATCTACATGAAATAGTTAGTTGATATATCTTAAGTCTCTTTCAATTTAAAGTTTTTCCCTCCCCCCAATAATTTATCTAAAGAAATTAGATTGTTTGTTCTGTAGAAATTTCTAGTCTGGATTTTAATTATCCCCACCCCCACTCCAAGTGCAGTTTAATTTATTCCTTCACCATCTGTATTATTTTTATAATTTGGAATTTAGATCTAGAGAGGATTCTTTTTTTTTTAGTTTGTTTTGAGGGCCAAGCTAATGCACAGGTGGCATTGTAATTATCTATAAGACATGAGACAAGGCATGGCTGCCACACACACACACACACACACACACACACACACACACACACACACACACTAGAGACCCGCTGCATGATAGTCATGCAAGAATAGGCCTTCCTTCACCTGGATTCACTCCCAGCTGCCCGGGAGTGGGCATGTCCCCGCTCCCTGGCCAACTAGAGCCAGCAAGTCCTCGCTTCAGTCTGGAGCACCACTCCAGTAGCTCCCTCTGCCACTCACCTTCCCCTCATAGCAGGCTTCACACTGCTCTGCACCTGCATATGCAAAATAACCTCCATCTTTGTTGGGCTAATTTGCATACTTACTCTGATTGGATGTAGGTGTAGCAGAGTGATGGTTAATTTGCATGTTTCTGTTTTTATTAGGTAAGGTATATATATCTTAAGACTAAAGCTATATATGTTTGATTGTATGCTTCCTGGTGGTCAGTATATGTCATATCGAGTGGTCCCTTTCCCTGGTCTGCAGGCTCTGATTGACCAATGGCGAATGGGGAACTGGGGGTGGGTGGTGGCCGGGGACAGGGCCAACTCTGGGCAGCCAGGAAAGATGGTCCTGATCGCAGACCAAGCCTAGGGACCGTCCCTGTGCACAAATTTCGTGCACAGGGCCTCTAGTGTTTCATGAAAGATGAAACAAAGTATTGTTAAGTTTACAGAAAAAAGAGGTTATTAGGAACTAGGAAGGGGGGGACAGGGATCACTAAAGGCTTAATGAAGCAAATGAATGTGTGTGTAAGTTTAACTGCCAACGTATGGTACTCAGAAAAATAATTCTGTTAGTAGTACAATATGCAAGGTATTTTGTAGCTACAGGTAAGTATAAAAATAGCGGCAAATCTCTATTTCTTACTTACAGTGACTGCTCCACAACTGCCCCCAAACAAAATGAAAGTGATTCTAAATTTAAATGCAAATACACTTTCATTGTATAAAAACACCACTGGCTTTCTGATGCATAAGAGAAAAAATTTCAGTGTCGAGAATATTAAAAGATTTTAAAGAAGATCCATAACAAAACTAAGATAGGAAAGAAAAACTAAGAACCCACTTAATTACTCCATAAAATTCAGAAAGTCACTATTATCACAAAAGTCTGCATCTGCTGGACAATCATGAAAAAAGTTATTTAAATTCTTAAAAATGTCTCATGTAACAAAAGCAATTTATTACTACACTGGAGGTCTGGTGCATGACATTCATGCATTGGAGAGGGGGGGGTCCATCAGCCTGGCCTGAGCCCTCTCACAGTCTGGGGGATGTCCCCCCAAGGATCAGGCCTATGCCAGCAGTCAGACACCACTCTCGCAGTGTGGGCTCTGACAGTCCAGCACTCCTCACTCCTTACTTCCCAGCACTACCGCTATGCTTGCCAGCTGTTAGCCTGGCTTCCCGTGAGAGCGCACTGACCACCAGGGGGCAGCTCCTGTATTGAGCATCTGTCCTGGTGGTCAGTGTATGTCATAGCAACAGGTTGTTTTGCCATTCGGTTGATTTGCATATTACACTTTTATTATATAGGATTATATATTTCTATCTCTCTCCTCCCTTTCTCTCTGGAACCAATAAAAATATCTAAAAAAAACAACAACCCCAAACAATCCAGAAAATCATAAGCGAAAATACATTTACAGTAAAATTCCCCATATTGCCGGGACCGGTTTGGCTCAGTGGATAGAGCGTCGGCCTGCGGACTGAAAGGTCCTGGGTTCAATTCCAGTCAAGAGCATGTACCTTGGTTGCGGGCACATCACCAGTAGGGGGTGTGCAAGAGGCAGCTGATCGATGATTCTCTCTCATCAATGTTTCTAACTTTCTATCCCTCTCTCTTCCTCTCTGTGAAAAATCAATAAAATATATTAAAAAAAAGAAAAAAAGAAAAAAAAATTCCCCATATAAGTGGACCCATGCAGTTAAAACCAGTGTTGTCCAAGACTCAATGTAACACATACAATTGCTAGCACAGTGCCTGGTATACAGAAATGGTTTTTGGATATATTTTCTGAGAAATGGCAATGTATCTCCCCCCCTCCCAGTTCTTTAGAAGTACAGACTAAATGCTTTCTTTAATTCAAATATTTTGCTAAGTATATTTATGAACTAGGACGAGAGGCAGGAGAAACAATATCATTCACAAAAATGATAAAGGCCAATAGAGAAGTTGTAAATTAACATTTTAAACTATTGTGGTATATACTATATTGCATTTATTTGTAGACTAAGACTATAAGCCAATAAATGTATTTATACAAAAAAAAACATATGAAGTAATGATCAATTTAATGTGTTTGGCTACTGAAAATTATTAAAACTAAAATAATACAGACGTTCTCATTGATGATCATTTTAAACTTTTACCTCTTAAAACAAAAGTTTTGACTTATTCAGTAGTATGGCACAGTTTTTCTTAAAATTGTATTTTAAATTTACAAGGAAGGTTTTAGGACAACTTTTAAAATAGATTCAAGTTTATTTTACATCTTTGAACATATTAGAGCAAAACCTACATTATAAACTTTATAAAATCAATTATACCTTGGTAGTTCAATATTAAACTTCTATCTGAACAGATTTAAGAATAGAATAGTGGAACAGAATGCATATGATAATCACTCTAGAGGGAAACTAGGAATGGCCAAATTTCTAACTGATTTGCATTATATAATCTGTACCAAACCCTGGATAGAATTGAGACCAATCTTTGTTACTCGTTCTCTCCCAGAGGAACATTTTTTCCCAGAAGAGAGGAGCAAGGCAAGAAAAAGCAGATTTTTAAAAATATATACTTTATTTTTTATAGAATGGTAATAAACACATGGATTAAGACTGAACTTACTACACCTCCTAGAAACAGGGCACTACACAACTGCCATGCAATTAATTCACTCAGTTATTATTTCCAGGCACTGTACGAGCTACAAACAAGAAAACACTTTGATCTAAAGCACATACCTTCATAGGTCTCAGGAGGTAATAGAATCAGTAATTCATAAAGCCTGTGTCTATATACTACTGATGGTGTTTTCAAAGGACTTCCATATGTTTTTATTATTGAAGAAAGCCTTAAAATAAAAGAGAAAGTATACCTTACATGTGTAACTTATATAACAATGAACAAATATTGAACAGGTTGGCATATAAACATAAAACAACTATACATATTAGTGAACATTACTGTTACTTTTATTTATTTTACTAAGGTGTGATTACAAATGTCACACATGGAAATCATTCTGCCATCTTTTCTATCATACCTCATAAAACAAAACTATATATATTCAGCTTAGAGTTCTAAGAACGTATTTTGTTGAGAAAATAAAACCATTAACTAAATTCCAAAATTTATAACATGGCATTTGTAAACAATAAAATCTGTTATGATAGAAAAGGAAACAGCTGAAGAAGCAAAGAGAAGAAAAAAAATACCTAAAAAAAAATCCAAGTGTTTACTAGAAACTTGATGTAGAATATCATCACCAAAATGAATCATAAAAATATGCAAAACCATAAACAAAATTCTCTTTTAATAAAGCCAGTGTTTCTCCAATAGTTATATTCACAATATTTCTTATCACCTTCTTTCTTCATACTCTTCTTTAACTTTCATCTATTTTGCTTTATTTTCTGTTATTTTCTGATTATTGCTTTTAAGACAGTTTACTATAAGGTTCACTCATTTAACAAGTGAACCTTATTAAAGGATTGCTACTCTTTGCAAAGTACCTTTTTATCAACTGGTTTTAATCTCTTTTAGCAATACAGACATTCAATGGGATCATTTTTATTGTTATGCCAAAATAAGTCAACTAAACGGTTATGGCATGAGGTTTCCAGGCACTCTAAGAAATTCTGGCAATGTTCATTTATTTGGATGTTCTAGAAAACTACTGCTTGCTATTCTAGTTATCCATATTAACACATATCACTCGGAACACAATGATAAATTCTAGATGAATTAAAGACTTAAATGTGCCAGGCCAGGAGCAGCGGCTGCCAGGCTGGGAGCGGCCAGGCCCGGGGGAGCAGCCGGGTCGGGTGCGGCCAGGCCCGGAGCAGCGGCGGCCAGGCTGGGAGCGGCCAGACCCGGGGGAGCAGCCGGGTCGGGTGCGGCCAGGCCCGGAGCAGCGGCTGCCAGGCTGGGAGCGGCCAGGCCCGGAGCAGCAGCAGCCAAGTCCAGAGCAACTAGGTTGGGAGCGGCAGTGACCAGACCCGGAGCAGCTGGTTGTGGAATGAACCAGAGCAACAGAGGCCAGGCCCTGAGAAGCCAGGCCCAGAACAGCTCGCTCCTTGCCTGCCCCTGCCCCACGGCTGCTTCTCAGACATGGATGGAAACTTTCGTGGGAACTTGAGTGTCTGCTGAATCAAGTGATGAAGGCTTAGATCTGGATGTGTTGAGTTAGTTTAGGATTGGGGTGTTGATCTGTGAGTGCCTTGGGTGGGGCCTGGATGAGGCTGGTTGACCTAGTGGGAAATGTCTTTTGTGTGAAGTGTATCATTGGGCATGTGGAGGTATTATTGATATGAGAAAATGCTAAGTAACTGATTTACTATCTGAAAAGGGATTTACTATTGGGGAAATTGAGGGAAGAAGAGACTGAACATAAACTGCACCTATGGATGAGGACAATGGGGGATGGGGGGGGACGGAGGGTGGGGTGGGAACCTGGTGGAGGGGGGAAGAAATGAGGAACCTTTGTAATAATATGAACAATAAAGATTGCTAAAAAAAAAAAAATAAAAATAAAAAAATAAAAATAAAAATAAAGACTTAAATGTGAAAGATAAAACCTTAAACATTTTTTAAAAATATATTTTATTGATTTTGTACAAAGAGTAAGGGAAAGAGATAAAAGAGCCAGAAACATCGATGAGAGAGAGTCATTGATGAGCTGCCTCTTGCACACCCCCTACTGGGGATATGCCCGCAACCAAGGTACATGCCCTTAACCGGAATAGAACCCAGGACCTTTCAGTCCCCAAGCCGACACTCTATCCATTGAGCCAAACCGGTTTCGGCAAAACCTTAAACATTTTAGAGAGAAATATAAAAATATGTCTTTATAACTATGAAGTAGGAAGATTTTTTAAAAAGTAGGTGTGTTCTCCCTCCTAGGAGCATGCATCTCCTAAACTCTAAGGGTCCCCACCAGACTTGCAAACCAGGGGAGCAATAAGCAGCGGCAGCTCATTTTTGGCTAACCCCCTGAACCTGTTTCGAAGGCCCCCTTTTCTCTGATTTCCCAGTGAACCAAAGCAGCCCCACCTAAGCTTTCTCCTTTTCCTTCTTTTATCCTAAACCCTTCCTTGTAATAAACATACTCTCAAAATAAAAAAGACAAAAAGTAATCAAAAAAACATTTTATCTAAAAATAGGTAAAGGTATGCATAAATAGGGATTTCATAGAAGGGGAACACTGAGGATCAGTAAGTACATAAAAAGACACAGCCATTAGAAATCTTACCTAATAATAGACAAACATGTAAATTGATAGTACCTCCGCTACTCTACCAGTTTATCAGAAATGATATGCAAATTAACCCAACAAAGATGGCAGTTAATTTGCACACTCAGCCACTGAGTGGGGGGGGAGGGGGAAGGGGAGGCGCATTCTGCCCCACCCTCAGTCTCTCAGGGCCTCTAACAGCATGGGAAGGAGGGGCCTGAACAGAAAGAGGCGGCTCCTGGAATGGGAAGAGGCAGCTCTGGGGCCTGAGTGGGAAGGAGCTGAGCTGGGCTGGAAAGGCGGTGCCAGCAGTCAGGGAAAGGAAAGCCCATTCTAGTATGAATCTTCGTGTATGGGGCTTAGTCAGATATATAAAAGTCATAAGTGAGATACCAATTTATACTTACTGAGTGGGCTAAAACTGATGTCTGATTAGTGTTGGTAAAGAAGTGAATCAAAGGGTACTCACATATACTATCTATAGAAATATACAAGGATTTTGGAAGGTATTTTGGTTATTTCATTGACAGGAGATAAAATGCTGTATAGTCACATAATTAAATATTATACAGCAATCAAAATGGAGGAAGAAATTTGCACATAAATGAAATTTAGAAACATAATGCTGTATAAAAAAAAATTAAGTCTCAGGCCCTGCCAGCATGTCTCTGGTTGAGTGTCAACTTATGAACCAGGAGGTCCTCATTTGAATCCAGGTCAGGGCACATGCCCAGATTGTGGGCTCGATCCCCAGTGTGGGGCATGCAGGAAGCAGCTGATCAATGATTCTCTCTCATCATTGATATTTCTCTCTCTCTCTCTGAAATCAATTAAAAAAATATTTAAAATAATTAAGTCTCAGAAAAAGTATGTCATGTGCTGAATCAAAACCAAGCAAAACTAAACCATGTGCTGTTTAGGGAAAAATACACTTTTTAAAAATGCAGGGAATGACATCTATAAAATTCATGATAGTGAGTATCTCTAAAGGAAGGGAGGAAGAATGGTAGTAGAGTGGAACACACAGACAACTTCAACAGTACTGTGAATGTTCCAGAGTTCAGGGATAGCTGAATCTGACCCATTACCTGTTTCTGTACAGTTTTACTGGAACATAGCCACACTGATTAATTTACAGATTATCTGTCTGCTTTTGAGCTGAAACAACAGAGCTGACTAGGTATATCAGAGACCATCAGGCCCTTACAGCACACATTTGCTAACCCCGCTCTAGATGTGCTGAACTCATATCTAGAGTTCATTTTATTATCTATAATAATAAAAGTGTAATATGCTAATTAGACTGGATGTCCTTCCGAATGACCTTCTGGACAAAGCCGGGGCTGCAAGGGAAGCCCGGGTCCCGGGTGCCAGAGGGAAGCTGGTGCCAGCAGCTGGGGGAAAGAAGGCCTACTCTTGCACAAATTTCATGCATCAGGCCTCTAGTGCTTTATAAACCACATCTTAAATATATTTTTCTGTATACATAAAATGTATCATTAAGGACATTTGAAAGACTTTCTCCAAACTACACATATTATTAATTTGGAAATTATAGATTCTTGTGACATAAACTAGATTTTCTTTATGTTTTCTTATAAGTCAGACATATGAAAAATATAAGCAACAAGACACTGAAATTGTTAACAAGCATCTTGTTCTTATGAACACAAGAAAAGCACTTACCAATAAAATGCAAACCTGAAAAGGTTAACAGGCTTTATATTAATTTTTTTGTTAAATCTGACTACAGAAATACACATCCACCAAGAAATTTTTCTTCCCTTTTAATATATATTTTCTTTCAAAACTCTAGCCTAATAAGAAACAATCACATAACTAAATATTTGCCTTCCTCTGCAAAAGGAAAATCATTCACTGATTATAGAAACTGGTGTTATTGCACTGAAAAGGTATTACATAATCAGAGGGTAACTGATTACTATTAAATTTTTAAAAAATCCTATCTAAACAGCAGATCCTTACTGAGTTAGCAAAGCCACAGCACAAGGAAGTGGTGGAAGAAGACGCTGAATTACTTCCTCTGTAAGGAGATCACCACAGTGGGAAACAAAGCTCTTGATAGCTGAAAGATAGAACACACTCTTACTTGGCAGAATGTAATGAACTACGAAAAAAGCATTCAATTATGCTACAGCGTTTGCATTTTTATTAGAGGAATAAAAAAATGTGTAAAAAACAAACAAACAATTCTTGAAACTCTAGTATAAAAAAAAATCTAGTGTCTTCTATTTCTAACCAAACTTCCTCAAATTAATACCAGAGGCCTCTAACCAAGTTAATAAAATGTTTCTTTCCTGGATTCTACTCAGATCTCAGAAGAATAAATTAGCTTAGACTCTAAAGTTTGCCAGTTCTCAACTAGAGTGCATCTAATACAACATGTGTTATCCTAAGAATCAGAACTCTTAAATTTGATTTATTACATCTACTTCTGTTATAATCACCAACTGGATATAGTAGTAATCAATTATATTCAATTACCCCCTCCCCCCTCAAAAACACACAAAAAACTGGCAAACTTTAGAGTCTAAGCTAATTTATTCTTCTACAGTAATTCTGAAGGACTATTCTACTTTTGAGTCAGCATGTTAGTTTTTGAAAGTGTTACCTAAAACACAAGTTTTTGTAAGGAGTTAATTTCTTATATAGAATAAAATAAATATTTTCAAGTTAGGCTGACTTTCAAAATTAATTTCAAAATTGTTTCCTATTCTTAAGAGTCAAAAAGCACCATGAATAAACAAACAAAACCAAAGTCAGTGCTTTAATGTCTTTTCAGGGATCCCACCCTTCCTTAGCTTGTTTTCATAATGAATACTATTTTAATGGCCTACATATTATAAAGGGTAAACTTCATATATTAAAAAACTAAATGGAAACATGCTTAATTAACACTAAGTAAATCCAACCCTAGTGTTGGTGAAAAGAGGAATGAATGCTTAGTTAAGGAAAAGCAATCTTGACATTTCTCAACTGGAGTGCATCTAATAAAACATGTGTTATCCTAAGGATGAGAACTCTTAAATTTGGTTTATTACATCTACTTCTGTTATAATCACCAACTGGATATACTAGTAATCAATTATATTCAATTACTCCCCCCCCTCAAAAAAAAAAAAACACACAAAAAAACAAAAAACACCAGAAAAATGTCATTTCCCTCTAAAATTAAGTAAAACATACAAGTATGTGCAAAGTTAAAGAGTGGGGAAAAGCCAAAAAATGGGAGCAAAAAGACTAAACTCAACCTACCACAGAGTGCACCAGCTCGTCCTTCTAAGGTTACCTGCCATGTAAACGAATCTCCTCGGCTCTTTTCTGTCTCTAGATCTTTAGGAGACACTGGAAAGACACACTTCCACAACAGCAGGACACGAGCAAGGTGATGACTGACAACTGCAGGACCTGTAATTCATTCAATTTATCACTTATAAAAGAACGCAAAGTGGCTGCTCTTTAAAAATCTATTAATAAACATATTTTAACACCCTACTGCAATACTTTGTCCCTTTTCTTGCATTCTGATTCCAATGAATGTACTACTGATTATTATCTGAACGTACTGGAGTAGAGAGAAAAACAAGGAACCAACAGTTAAGTCTGGGTTCTAGTGTCAGCTCCTTCACTACTGCTAAGACCTCTGAAACTGTTTCTTTTATCCAAACTTCCTCAAATTAATACCAGAGGCCTCCAAGGGTTTGTCTGATCTAAATGATAGTGTCCTTTAAAGTAGTCTGAAAAAAATGTGATTTACCTACAAGGTAAATTATAACATGTAATGTAACTGCAAAGTAATACTGTTTTGGTAACAAATAACATTGTATCCTGAGAGTAATGCTAACTTTTGATAGCAACCTGTTCTAGGCCAAAATTCAGAAGTAATACATCTAAATGAAATAAAAAAAAATTTTTTTTCCCCAAAGCAACATCCTTTAGAACTAAGGAATCATGAATACACAAAGCCAGTAATAAAAGGTAATATACAATGATAGTATTTTATTTACCACCATTTTCAGTTAAGAAAAATATATGAAAAAAATAAAGTATAAAAAATAAAACCTATAGCTTTTCTCTCCAAATAATTTTCTTTAAAATTCTGAGGTTATCTCAAAATTCTCCTATAAGTACTTATTATTTCTTATTTCTGTGTTGGGCTGACTGTATGTTTTCCTTCTGCAGTATAACAGCATAGCAAAAACTGCATTGAACTCTGGAATGAGAATACAGGTTAACATCCTGACTCCTTCCACTCGCTGTGTAAACTTGGTTAAGTTACTCAACCATTTTCTGCCTCAATTTCTATTGTAAAAGGGAATTACAATAGTATTTATCTCACTGAACAGTTTTCTAGACTTACAAGAGTTTATATAGGAAAGTGTATGACTCATGATAAGCATTTACATAATGGATGACATTACACAATTATCATTAAAAAATTGCCTCATTTACATTTGAAGAACTGAGTTATATGGTAAAAGAAACGGGCATTTGCAAACCAATCTTTTTTTTTTTTTTTAAATATGTTTTATTTTTTTTTTACAGAGAGAGGGGGAGAGAGAAACATCGAACTACTGCCTCCTGCACAATTCCTACTGGGGATGTGACCGCAACCAAGGTACATGCCCCTGACTGACTCAAACCTGGGACCCTCCAGTCCGTAAGCTAATGCTCTATCCACTTAGCCACATAGGCCAGGAAGCAAAACCAATCTTTTTTTAATGCATGCAATTTACTAGATTAAAATATAATTAATTTTTCCGCTTTTTTCTTCTAATTTGCTTTTTAGGAAGAGGCTATTGTTAATTCAAAATAAGATGAATTCAACACTCTTTGCTCACTACTTTCTTTGATGAAATGGTAATAAAAACCACAAAGTACCTAGAATTGGAATAAAAAAAGGAAAACAAGAGTAAAGTAATTAAGAATAAATGACTGTAAGAGGTTTGTGTGCATGAGTGCCATGTGTGCACATCAGCCCATTCGTATACCACAGGCTGTGGGGACACAGAAAATTCTAAAAGTACAATTTAGTTAATATTATAAAAGCACAGCATCACTGGGAATTCTCATAGTTGACAAAAGTTTCTAAATATTTGCTATTATACTAAGATATCTCATTAACTCAATAGTGAACAATGTAGCATCTCTTTCCTAAAGGTATTAAGATGTTATTGAGAGGGCAGAGCGGAGTTATCTTCCATTCTGTAATTGAACCCTAGCCCTCACCCAACCAATCAGGGTTAGCCGAGGCAGTGACACCACCACCGACCGGAGTAAAACCCCTGGACTGGGCGAAATTCTCTCTTTTCCACCATGCTGCCGGCGTGAGTGGGACAGAGCCCATGCTAGCATGGAAAAGGCTCTTTTATTTATTGCATCGGACTCGGCTCCCTGGTGGTCCTTGGGGATCCCGAAGTCTGGGCATAACAGTTATCTCAGAGACATACATGAACTAAGTTGACAAAAATTAGTTTATGATAATTGTAAACATAAACAAGAACAAGTCTTTTTATATCAAGAATCCTAATATAGGAGAAACCAAGATGGCGGCATAGGTAAACACCTAAACTGCTGCCTTGCACAATTTCAAAACTACAACTAAAAGGTAAAACGGACATCATTCAGAACCATAGGAAGGCTGGCTGAGTGGAAATTCTACAACTAGAAAGAAAGAGGAAAGCACACTGAGACTTAGAGAAGCTGCAGGAAGCAGAGGTACTGAGAGGTGAGCGTGGAGAGGGCGAGCAACTGAGTACATGACTGGCTTTCTCAAGCAGGAGGGAAATAAAAGCTCTCAACTGCACTGAACTCCAGTTCCAGGCGAGACTCTGGGTATCCAGACTCATTCGGGGAGAAACTGGACTGTCTGGCAATGAATAGAACTCAAGGACGGCTTTCTCTCAGAGGTGCTTGCAGTGATTACCACAGGACACTGAGACACAGGGGCCTCATTGGGCAAGGCTGACAAGAAACCAATGCTGTGTGCTCCGACCTGAGACTCTGCCCCATCCAAGCTGAGCACAGAGGCTTTTGCAAGTCTTATCTCATAAGGGTGGCTCCAGCACATTAGTTCTCCCATCGTAGACACAGCTGATCTTCACAGCCACTTGGCATGGAGGTCAATTCCTCCCAGTGATACCAACAACAATCAAGGCTTAACTACAACAAGACTGTGCACACAGCTCACAAAGGGTTGCATCAATAGTGTTCAACTCAGGTAACTGCGGAGGCTGAGCCACTGGGCCCTATAGGACACCTAGCACACAAAGCCACTCTATCAATTTAGGGAAGTAGCCAAAATGTGGAAACAGAGAATCAGATCACAAATGAAAGAAATGGAGGAAAGCAAACGTCTGGATATAGAATTCAAAACCACAGTTATAAGGTTTTTCTAAAATTTCCTAGAAAAGGCCGATAAATTTAGCGAGACCCTTGAAGATATGAAAAAGGACCAACTAGAAATTAAGCATAAACTGACTGAAATAAAAAAAAATTATACAGAGATTTAACAACAGACTAGAGGATTGCAAGAACCAAGTCAAATATTTGAAATACAAAGAAGCAGAAAACACTCAACCAGAAAAGAAAAAAGAATCCAAAAATATGAAGATAGTGTAAGGAGCTTCTGAGACAACTTCAAGTGTACCAACATCAGAATTATGGGGGTGCCAGAAGAAGAGAGAAGATACTGAAAATCTATTTGAAGAAATAATGACAGAAAACTTCCCCCACCTAATGAAAGAAATAGACTTACAAATCCAGGAAGTGCATAGAAGGAATTCCCAAAGGAATCCAAAGAGGACCACTCCAAGACACATCATAATTAAAATGCCAAGAGCAAAAAACAAAGAGAGAATTTTAAAAGCAGCAAGAGAAAAACAGTTATCTACAAGGGAGCACCTGTACAACTTTCAGCTGATTTCTCAACAGAAACCAGACGGGAGTGGCAAGAAATATTCAAAGTGATGAATAACAAGAACCTACAACCAAGATTACTCTACCTAGCAAAGCTATAATTCAGAATTGAAGGACAGATAAAGAGCTTCACAGATAAGAAAAAGCTAAAGGAGTTCATCACCACCAAAACAGTATTATATGAAATGCTGAAAGGTGTTCTTTAAAAAGAGAAAGAAGAAGAAAAAGGTAAAGATAAAAATTATGAACAACAAATACATATCTATCAACAAGTGAATCTAAAAATCAAGTGGAAAAAAAATCTGAGGAACAGAATAAACTGGTGAATATAATAGAATAAAAAGCATAGGAAGGGAGTGGACTGATGGGGAAAGGAGTGTGGGGGTTGCAGGAAGAGACTGGACAAAAATTGTACACCTATAGATGAGGACAGTGGGAGGGGGTAAGAGCAAAGGGTGTGGTGGGAACCAGGTGAAAAAGAACTATGGGGGGGAAAAGAGGAACAATTGTAATAATCTGAACAATAAAGATTTATTATGTAAATTAAAAAATAATAATCTTAATATATAAAAACCCTTGGTCCATCACGACCAGAGGCTGGACCACCTGGAAGTCAGTCCTGTAGTCAGCTCTGAGTTGCCATGGTGACCCAGCACTGATTGCTGAGGGGATTGAAATCAGGCCCAGAGAGAGGCCTGAAGAAGCAGCATCTGATACATAGCCTCTATGGCAGATGCTGGTCAGCACTCTCCTCTTTCTCTCCAGCAGCTGTGCCACCATTTCTCTCCAGGCCTCCACTGGGGCTCATAATCAGCCCCACCTTTCGGATCAGGCCCCATTGATAGGTCCAGAGACACTGACTGGCATAGAAACCGACCAATCAGAACTAAATCTGGATGAACTATGAGGAGCCAATGGCTGCCTAGGAGGCAGAGCTTTTGATGCTGACTGGCATAGAAACCGACCAATCAGAATCAAATTAGCCAGCAGAGGAGGGCATTGGTGTATAGACTGAACTCTGATGTACCGTATTTTCTGGCGTATAAGATGACCCCCTAATTTTTACAGTTAAAACATAGGTTTAGGCCTATATTCGCTGTATAAGACTACCCCCCCCCCCCCCACACACACACACTTCCGAGGCAACACCAGTTCTTCTTTTAATAGACCGCCTCTCTGACTCTGGCCAATCTGAGCAGTCTTTTTACTAAAACACAGTGTAGCTTCAGGTACAGAACATGTATAATTTGCATGCATAAAAAGCCTGCTTTTTTTTTTTTATACACCAGAAAATATGGTAGTCCAATAAATCTCTTTAATCATCTCAAGAACATTACTTAAAGTGTTCTTCATTTATGATTATTTTAATTTAAGCTCCTTTTAGGTCAAATTATTTCAGAGATGTCAAAATGATTCATTGGTCAAATCCAGTCACTTTTCTATTCTAGCAATAAATCACATGACTCTAGAGACTTAAAACAAAATTTAGCTGTAATTAATAAAATTAAATTTCAAAGTCATAGGATATAACTATAATAGTCATGATCATAAAACACATACTAACTTAAAAAATATGTAATTTAAATGAGCCCTATCTCCTTCAATGTAACTACCTTATTGGTGTTACCAATTCCCAAAACAACTACAAAATGAATTCGTAAGCTACAGTATGTTCTCTTGCCTAACTTATGTTTTGGAAAATGTTTTTTTTCCTGATGATGGATATAAATTATTTCTTGAAAAGCCAGAGTCATTCAAAGTTAAGCCTGAAAGATGATCAAATTGGCTTATCCTATTTAAGGTTCATAAACTGGCCTTGAATAGAATTTTAAATAAAGAAATCTAAACACATTTTGGAGAGAGAACCCAGAAATAGTCCCAAGCCATTATGCTCAATTAATATTTGACAAAGGAGGTAAGAGCATACAACGGAGTCAAGACAGTCTCTTCAATAAATGGTGCTGGGAAATTTGGTCAGACATATGCAAAAAAAATGAAACTAGATCACCAACTTACACCATACACAAAAATAAACTCAAAGTGGGTAAAGTTCTTGAATTTAAGACAGGAAACCATAAAAATCTTAGAAGAATCCATAGGCAGCAAAATATCAGACATATGTCATAGCAATATCTTTACTGATACAGCTTCTAGAGCAATGGAAACTAAAGAGAAAATAAACAAATGGGACTAGTACATCAAAATAAAAAGCTTCTGCACAGCAAAAGAATCCATCAACAAAACAATGAGAGCCCACTGCACGGGAGAACATATTTGCCAATATTATCACAGATAAGAGTTTAATCTCCAACATTTAAAGAGAACTCATAGAACTTAACAAAAGGAAGATAATCCAATAAAAAAATGGGCACTTTTTGAAAGAGGGCATGCACAAGGCTGAAAGACATATGAAAACATGCTCAAAGTCACTAATCATCCGAGAGATGCAAATCAAAACGACAATGAGATACTATCTCACACCTGTCACAATGGCTATCATCAACAAATCAATAAATGACAAGTGCTGGCACGGATGTGGAACAAAAGGAACCCTCGTGCACTGCTGGTGCGAATGTAGACTGGTGCAGCCACTGTGGAGAACAGTATGGAGTTTCTTCAAAAAATTAAAAATGGAACTCTCATTTTGACCCAGTGATCCCACTTCTAGGAATATATCCCAAGAAACAGGAAACACGAATCAGAAAAGATATATGCACCCCTATGTGCATAGCAGCACAATTTATAATAGGTAAGATTTGGAAACAGCCTAAATGCCATCAGCAAAGTGTATTAAAAAACTGTAGTAAATCTACACAATGCAATATTATGCTGCTGTAAAAAAGAAGATACTCTTACCATTTGCAACAGCATGGATGGAACTGGAGAGCATTGTGCTAAGCGAAATAAGTCAGTCAGAGAAAGATAAATAATTTATAATCTCACTCATATGTGGGATATAATGATCAACATAAACTGATGAACAAAAATAGATCGAGAGACAAGGGGCAGAGGAGGAGGGGTTTTGGAGATCAACCAAGGACTTGTATGCATGCATATTAGCATAACCAATGGACACAGACACGGGGCAGTGAAGGCTTGCCCTCGGGGCTAGGAGCAGTGGGAAGGGTGGGGCGGGGATTAGGAAGAGGGTCAATGGGGGGAAAAGGAGATATATATAATACTTGAAACTATGAAAAAATTATACTTGAATGCAGCTGTTTATTTTATTTATTTATTTATTTATTTATTTATTTATTTATTTATTATTAAAGAATTTTTTGTGAGTTTATTTGAGCCTTACTGTCGACACGTGCTGGGAAGCAGAACCTCAACGGATTGAGATAATGCTCCGGAGAAAGGCGGGTTACATTTCTTTTTTTAATATATTTTATTGATTTTTCACAGAGAAGAAGAGAGAGGGATAGAGAGATAGAAACATCGATGAGAGAGAATCATCGATCAGCTGCCTCTTGCACACCCTTTACCGGGGATGTGCCCGCAACCAAGGTACATGCCCTTGCCCGGAATTGAACCTGGGACCTTTCAGTCCGCAGGCCGACGCTCTATCCACTGAGCCAAACCGGTTCCGGCTGAATGCAGCTGTTTAGACAAGGTTTTATTTTAATTTTATAAGCAATGGGAAGCCACTTAAGATTTGGAAATGAAGAAAAACTATAGAAAAAATTGCCAGTAAAGAATTATTCAGATTGAAATATAAAAGAAAGAAGACACAGAGTAACACAGGGATGTACACACAGAGAGAGTAAAATAACGATGTGATAATACGATAAGAAGGTGGCCATATGTAAGCCACAGATCTTGTTCTTCTAGCCTCCAGAACTGAGAGACAATACATTTCTGTTAAACCAAAAAGAACCATTTTGGGGAATGGAATAAGTATATGGTTTCCTAAGGTGACTAGCTAGAAAACAAGTATTTGTGTGGATATTTAAATTCTGGTATATATTAAATGTTAGTCTGGTCAAATCACCCATTACAATATTTTACATCAGAAAACACTAAGTTCAGTTATGTAAATCTTCCACAAGATCATTACCTAATGTCATCAGAGCAGCAATCAACAACCATCCAGCTTGTGTGCGTTGAGCTGAAAGGCGACTGTTTTGAGTAGCAGAACACAGCAAATCCTCGGCTAATGTCAAAATAATCTATTTACATATAAAATAACAAGTAAAAAAAAAAAAAGGCATTTCAGTTTATGGGTTACTGGAGAAATGACAGCAACTAATAATAATGTCTTGAAAATTTAATTCTCATATTGATATATAAGTGTACACAGAAACCCTATAATTGTCTATAGAGCATGTGCAACAACATAGTACAACAATTAGCTGTACAGAACTTGAACTTACTTTTAGTTTTAAGTAACATCTTAGATAGTAACTACCAAAGAAAACCTCATTACAGGAATTTTGTTTTTAAAATTTTTACATACCACCTTAAAACACACACACACACACACACACACACACACACACACACACACACACACACACTTAACTGATTTCAGAGATAAATGGAGAGGGAAAGAGAAATGGAAGCATCAATGATGAGCATCATTGACTGGCTGCCTCCCATACAGCCCCCACGGGGGATCGAGCCTGCACCTGGGCATATGCCCTGACTAGGAATCAAACTGTGACCTCTTGGTTCATAGATTGATGCTCTATCACTGAGCCACACTGGGCTGGGCTAAAATTTTGCATACCACTTTGATACTTGAGTGGCTATATACTACAGAGGTTAAAAGCTTTCAAAATCACCTCATATTGAAGTAAGTTTCAAAGTACAGTGAGGTTCATTAAAATGTTACATTTTAAATGTCTATGAAATAGGCAGTGTTATAAACTGAGAGGAAAAACAAGGTATTTCACATTTATGACTAATGCATGTTTGTACAGTACAAAGGCCAACAAGTATCTAATATGCCTAAGAAAATATCTCTATTACTAATCACTTCTATTATGAGTTGGCATGTAAATTTTCTAAAGAGATAGGCTACTGGATTTCAAAACAACCAACCAACTTACTGCTACTTTAGGACTACTTGCGGCCTATACTCAATGGATAACACTTAGAGAGTGAGGACCAAACCGAACAAACTATCCTGTTTGGCTAACCCAGTGGTTGGCAAACTCATTAGTCAACAGAGCGGCAAACCGCTGATCGCAAGCCGAATGTGGCTTGAGAGCCGCAGTTTGCCAACCACTGGGCTAACTTAATATGATCTGAGGATATTAAGTGTAACTATATAAATGCAGTGGTAATTCTTACTTAGCAAGATGTAATGTGTTTAGAATATAACTAAAATAATAAATTTAAATGAAGATATCACTTCCCAAAGTTGTCAGTCACCTTAATTCAAATGGTGTTGGCAATACTCAAAATAGTTTTAACGTTTTTGAAGTAATGTTAAACCAATAGTGGAAATTTATTTTAAAAGAACTGCTTATATGTGTGTAAACCCAGGTTATGATGGCTTTCATTCTGAAACAATATTCTCTGACAAATTGCAATTCCTAGCTAGCTATTCAAAAAGATACAAATATTTTCTGTTTTATATTTCATTAAAACTGTTACTTCAGTTCTCTTAAAAATTCTTTGTACATTAAAACTGGATTATTTGCCGTAACCGGTTTGGCTCAGTGGTGGATAGAGTGTTGGCTTACAGACTGAAGGGTCCCAGGTTCGATTCCAGTCAAGGGCATGTACCTTGGTTGTGGGCACATCCCCAGTAGAGGGTGTGCAGGAGGCAGCTGATTATGATTCTCTCTCATTGATGTTTCTAACTCTCTATCCCTCTCCCTTCCTCTCTATAAAAAAAATCAATAAAATATATTTTAAAAATAAATAAAACCGGATTATTTATTCACCAAGTTCTACATAGTATTTTATCAGTTTGAAAGTGCTCCTTTCAAAAGCATGAATTTGCCCAGAAAATCATATTTTGGGGACAGCAACACAATTTTAGGAGAACTTTATTTTAGTATAATTATGAACTCATGAGGGCTTATATATTTTGTGTTTCAAGCCACGTATGCTGTCATTATAATGACGCAACATTATCTCATCTTTGGTCAGTGGAAATCTGTATCCTTTTACAATGAACATATTATATAAGTGTTTACTTCCTTGTTTTCCATCATGACCAGATATTCCTGCCCCAGAATAGAACTGTGCATTTCCTGCCCCAGACATAGAACCAGTCATTCCTCCATGAAGCTCTGGTTCCTTTACTAGAATGGTATTTAGAGCCATAATCTAGGCACTAGGGATTGTCCCTCCTACTTCGTTGTCATTGCTTTGAGGTCTTTTCACTGGACAGAGGATATAAGTGTTTTCAAAAATAGAAAATTGTAAGTTCATAGCAATATTTTCTATTCAAATTTAATATATGGACTTTTACTTAACTTTCTTGCTTCTAATGCGATAGCAGTTTTTAAAATATGGAAAGTCTTGGTTCCTAAGAACATTGTATCTACTTTCTCTAATTATATTTAATTTCAAAATAATATCAACACTAATAATATTAACTATAAAACAATTACATGAAGTTTAAGATTTCTTTTGCAGCTCTATTTGTCTTTTACAATGCAATTTAAATATTTTTATTGATTTCAGAGAGGAAGGGAGAGGGATAGACAGAAATATCAATGATGAAAATCACTGATGGGCTGCCTGATGCACGCCCCCTACTGGGGAATAAGCCTGAAACTTGGGTATGTGCCCTGACTGGAAATTGAACCCTGAACTCCTGGTTCATAGGTCAACATTCAACCACTAAACCATACTAGCCAAGCTACAATGCAATTTAAAATGTACTTTATGGCAGAGCTAAATATATAGTAAAATAAAGCCTTTAGGAACAAGTTCCCTTATTAAATGGAGAGACTTTTAACAAAATACACAGAAAGCATTCCTGTTTAAGAGTGGGTAAGACATTATTAACCAGTGCTTCCATTTTCACACTAATTATATTGATAATATTTAACACTTAAGTGATACACAGCTGACTGCTCAGAAATTTGTCCTGCATGGTACTCTGAAGATACCAGAAGCATTGAATTGTATACTTTAAAAGGGTGAACTTTGTATATTGTGAATTATCTCAAGACCATGATGTTTTTAAGAAAAACTTAAAATGTTGTTATTGCACGTATTGAATGAAATCATTACCTTGCCCTTTCCATGAGGAATTCCTAAAGGACAATGTTTCACTGCTCCCAATAAAGCTGCCACAGCAAAACTAAAGCCAGTCACTGCTTCGGGTGAAGACTTAAGTACAGTAAGCCTTTCAAGGCAACGGTCCAAGAGCGGTGTTAGGTAAGAAGGTAAAGCCACAGCAATGCAGTGTAGACACCAGGCTGCTGTTAGCCGAACAGAAATGCTAGGATGAATAATAACTGAAATGACACTGTCAAGAATGCCTGGAAGAACAGAAAAAACAAACAATGCCTTAGCTACACAGTTGCAGGAATAAGTAGTTACATGAATAAAGTATGTATTATCTTTATCAAAAGCCAACTCAGAATAAAAAAAAGGGATACATAATTATAAACAACTTTTGTATCTAATAGTTGTTTCTTCTAATATATCTCATGAACGGGCTTAAGTCAGTACAAAAAAGAAAACCTGTATTTCCTAAATATGCCAATGTTTTGCTTACTTTACCTAGAGATAATTATTAATGATACTAGCATTAAAAATTATGTGTAAGCTGTCAGACTGACGTGGCTCAGTGGTTCAATGTTGGCCTATGAACTAGGAGGTCAAGGTTCGATTCCTGGTCAGGGCACATGTGTGGGTTGCGGACTCCATCCCCAATCAATGATTCTCTGTCATCTTTGATGTTTCTCTCTCTCTCCCTCTCATTTCCTCTCTGAAATCAATAAAAAATTTTTTAAAAAAGTTATCAGTAAGCAACAAAAGTACCTTGAGAAGAAATGTTACACACCATGCTCCATTCTCCTTAAAAAAAAAAAAAAATCCCTTCTGGCACATTTATATATGTAATTAATATACTTCCTTTCTATCATATTGCTATTATATGAGAACAAAATGTTAAGCTCTAGGATTTGCTAGGTCCTCAATGCACTACTAGACAACTATGAAGAAAGTGGACTACCACTACTAGTTAGAAAAAATGTCCACATTTGCAACGATTCAACATACATTTTTATTAAAACATGTCATGTAGCAGTTCAAGACAATTGCTACTTAAATAACATGTGCCCTGGGATAAAGAGTTTATAAACAAAATATGATGTAAAGCTCCAGTGTACATTTAAAGGACAAAAGCCATTAAAAATTATTTTTTAAAGTGACTACATAAAATAAGCCAGTAACATACTACATGATGGACCACATACTATATGATTCCATTTACATGAAATGTCCAAATAGGGAAATCCACAGAGACAAAAAGCAGATCAGTGGTTGTCAAAGGCTTGGGAAAAGGGAAATGGGGAGTGACTGCTAATGGATGCAGGACTCCTTGGGATGACGAATACTTCCTGGAATTAGATAATGGTGGTAATTGTACAACTCTGAACACACCAGAACCACTGAATTATATACTTTAAAAGGGTGAACTCTATATAATGTGAATTATCTCTCACAATGATTAAATAAGTTTCAAGAAGAGAAAGAAAACAGAGATTGCTTGCAAAAAAACTTTGGGGAAGTGAATTACTTGTACCATATAAAAACTAATGTTTTCACTGTGGATGAGGGATATGAGTTCAGGTTTACTTCCTCATTTTTCCATTATCTTAACTATCCCCAGAGAAAAGAGCAGGATGGTAGGAGAGACATAGAGAACAACCTTCAATAGTAAAAGCAAATATATATATATTTATAAACTTGATTATGTATATTTCATAAAATATCTCTAGTAAATATACAGTGGGATCTATAAGAAATAAACGGTAGGAGGGAGATTTTCTTCCTTGGATAAAAGTTGTCTAGAGTAAAAATAAAACAAGGTGTTCAGATGAGGCACAACAATAGATACCTGCACTTGAATCCTGCAGCAAAGGTGCAGCTGTGGTCCCAAGACCGTGTATGAGATTTCCGAGTTCTTGTAAAGCACATACCAGCATATGCTGGCTGGCTGCTACATCTGATGAGCCAAGCCGGGTTTCCAAATTACCGTCACACATCACAGCATCTGACAGAGGTATAAGAATTAACTATGCAACAATGCTTTGCTAAAATAGATTATAGCAGGTGAGTGTTAGGAGTAGAACAGTATAAAAGCAAATATTAGTACCACCACTTGATCTATATAATTGAAATACTAAAAAGGGGACTTGTATCAACAAAGAATTGAACTCATTTACCAAATCAGTTCAAGCAATCTGACCCTAGGTCACTTATTATTTATTCCCTTAGCAAGTGACACTGAAAGAGAGAACTAATGGAAAACTAAAAAAGATTCCAATTTTATTGATACATAAGATGAACAGTACAGGAACTGAGATGAAAACTGTTTCAAAAACAGTGCATCAGCTTCTATAGTAAGATCATGAATTCTGATGAAATATTATCATCAATCTTTAAGATCTGTACATATGATGGTTATTACTATGTTAGGTAACTTATGTATTGACTACTTTATGTATTGACTACTTTACTCTGAAACAACTGATGTCTATTATTAGTGCTTTTTATATTAATATACTAGTAGTAATATACTAGTCCAGCTTTTCCTTAGGGACAATTCCTTTAGCACTGTTAAAAAAGGTGGTTTTAGTAGATTCATACCGACAACTTTCTTTAACTTCCAAATAGTCTGGCAAATATCTCTGGCAGCAGCAATCTGAGCCTTTTCTCCAAGAAGGCCTCCTATAGTCGCTCGAAGGATAAATGAAACACAACGGCGACTGCAGACAGCATCCACCTGAGCTTGAGTGACTTTAGGGTGTGACTGTGACACAAGGCTTAGGACATGAAAAAGAAAGGCAGCAAAATTCTTCTCTAGCCACGCTCCTCCTAGTGTTGAAATAAACACCACATATGCCTAAAAAGAAAGAGAAGTTTTATCTTCAAAGTGAAATAACTTTAATTCTATGTTAATATCTTCTCTTCCACAAATATGCAGAATTTATTAATATTTCTTTTATCTTTCCCTATTTAGAGCCACTTTAGCTATATGATACAATACTGTTTTTTTGTTTGTTTTCTAAGGCAAACTGAAATTTGCAGTCTTTCATTAAGGCTGCCTGTTTTATTTTGGTTTTCTGAAAGGTTTCAGAATAGTCAGCATAGCCAGTAAATAGGTTAAACATGTCTGTGGCTTCTTTGAACAAAGAATTCAAGCTCTTTCACATTCTGAATAAGAAAATCCAATAAAACATATGAACACATTGTAAGAATTAACTGTGTTCCAATATCATAACTAAGTTTATAGTGATAAATCACTGCTCTTTATTTTCAAGAAAGTAATGGTTGCCCTAGCTGGTTTGGCTCAGTGGATAGAATGTCGACCTGCGGACTGAAGGGTCCCAGGTTCAATTCCGGTCAAGGGCATATATGCCTGGGTTTGCAGCTTGATCCCAGTGGGGATGTGCAGGAGGCAGCTGATCAATGATTCTGTCTCATCACTGATGCTTCCATCTCTCTCTTTTACCTTCAATAAAAATATATTAAAAAAAAGAGAAAGTTTATTGTTTATCTTACTCCAGAGATACAAGAACAGTTTTTTTATGTAATTTGTTTTTAAAAAAATCTAGTTTACAATTAATTAAACTGAGACATTCCCAGTGGGGTATGTGAGGAGGCAGCCAATTGATTCTTTCATCAATGATATTTTCAATCTCTCTCCCTCACTCCTCTCTGAAATAAATAGAGATATATACATACTAGTATATTTTAAATTAAAAAATAATATAGGCTTGTTTTGAACCATAATGGCATTCAGGAAATAAGATAATTCTAGGAAAGAATGCAGAGATCTCTGTTTTGTTTTATTCTGAGATACTTTTCCCAGAGTTTAGTTTATTAAATTTTGTTTAGGATATGGAATTTAAGCACGTGAGTAGATAACATGCTGTAATGTTTACTTAGGAGTGAAATCATATAAAATGGAAATACAATACTGCCCATGCTGAATAATATGTATAATACCTAATAGTTAAACTTGAATTATACATGCACACATAAACACAATGAAAAACATGTTAAACCACAAGATACAACATTAAGTACAAGGCCTAAAAACAAAATAATCATGTTTCAAAGAAAATAAACAAAAATATTCCATTACTAGGGACTGAAAGTATTGTGTGGAATAGTCGATCTAGTGGCTTTGATTATGGCACATAAGGTTGTCTCTCATAATCTAGCTTTTAAAAAGCATTTTGACCGAGGCCTAGCTGGTTTAGCTAAGTGGATAGAGCATCAGCCTGTGGATCCAAGAGTCCCAGGTTTGATTCTGGTCAAAGGCACATGCCTGGGTTGTGGGCTCAGTCTAACATGCAGGAGGCAGCCAATCAATGACTCCCTCTCATCATTGATGTTTCTATCTCTCTCCTCCTCTCTCTTCCTGAAGTCAATAAAAATATAATTTTTTAAAAAGTGTTTTGGCCTCACCATATCTATTTATAAATATCTATAAGAGCAAGAGTGATGACCCTACATAGTATCACTTCTGGCTGGAGTCAGATACCAAAACTTTCATTACGGGACAGTGAGAATTACATTTAGATACTGACTTGTGATCCTAACCTGAGTAATTCCAACTCGAACATCCCTACTGACTGAACTGGTTCCTTTCAGCATATCACCACTGGCTCGAAGAAATCCTGAACTCCCACGTAGAAACCCTGTTCCTAGTATTTCCAGAACTTCCTCCAGAGATACTCTGCGAATGCTTTGACGTGAGGCTGCTATAACAAAGAACAAAACATGTGATTTTGTATTTTGCAGACTATATTTTAATGCATGATCTTGATTAGAATGTTAACTGAAATAAAAATAAATTAAAAACTCAAATAAAATAAAAATTTAGAGGCATTATACACATTAACACACAAAGTCACACAAGGGCTCAGAGGTTAAATCACAATGAACTCTGAAGCACCCTTTCATTGACATCTGAAAGTCTACATCACTTTGAGATTATGTGCTATTGCTCTCTTTTCCTCAAAGAATTTAAAGGGCTAACAGTATCCTAAAATTTAAAGGGCTAACAGTATCCTAAAAGGGCTAACAGTATCCTAAGGAAAAACAAATAAATTGGCCTAATTCTCCATGAATGAAAATGCAATACAATGCTTTGAAGTTCTTTTAAACTAATTAAATTGCCAAAACAATAATTTTATTTTTCCAAAGGCTTATATAAAGTAACCACTGTATCCTACTTTTAAAAATTCTCAACTGCAAGTACAACTTTTGTTATATCCCCAGTCTCTGAAGAAATCAAAGATATCTCAGCCAGCCCTTAGGCTACAATAATTAAAAGATTAGTCTGTCTTCAGTTTGACACAGCTGTTTCTCCCTTTGAATATCACCTTAAAACAAACAAACAAAAAGAATCCATTTTCTTCATTTTTCTGAAAAATGATGGTCACGAGCTCTGACTCTTGTTGATTCAAGTCATACATAGTACAGAAATAAACTTCCATTAATCAAAAATATGAACAACGACAAAAAATCTCCTCCTTAAAGAGATGTTCCGTGGAAACAAAGGAAAATCTATATTGGCCTTTAGAAGAGAAACTTTAGCAAACAGTACAAAATCCATGCCCTTGTGCATCAGAAATTCCAGGAAGGAGACAACAATAAATACATGAATAGGCATATAGTATGCTAAATAGTGATTGAAAGCTATACAAAAAAAAAAAAAAAAAAAAAAAAAACCAGGGCAGAAATACAAGGAGTGAGGGGACATTGTTGTGTTTTTCAACAAGTCAGGGTATAGCTAATTGAAAGGGTGACCTCTGAACATAATTCCCTAAGTGAGGGAATTAGTTATGCAGATCCTAAAATTTTAGTATCCGAAAGTTCTAAGCAGGGGTTTTTATCTGTTTTGCTCAATAACATATCCTACATATTTAGAACAGATCTAGCCAATATAAACACTCAACAAATTACTTATTACTGAGTGAATAAATAAACATGGAGGTCATTCGTTGTCTTTACAAAAAATAATTTTGGTGGAGTGATTGGGTTTGAAAATTATGGCAGGAGAGGAACTAAAGAGGGAGGTGTCAACTCCTTTGAAGGAATATAGTCAGCAATAATTATGTATGGTGCCAGGTGGGTACTTCAAATATCAGGGTGGGGTGGAGGGACTGCTCTGTGAAGTGCAAAATTGTCTGACCACTATGCTATACATTTGAAACTAATACAGAACAGTACTGAATGTAAAATGTAATTGAAAATAAATAAATAAAAATGATGCAAATAATACAGAAAAATAAAACAAAAGAAACCTCTCTTGAAGAATTTACTGCAAAGGGAAGAGAAATGGGGCTCTAGCTGGCTGATATACACAATTTTCTTTTTTAAGCAGGAGGCATAAAAAAAAAGCATGTTTTGTAAGGAATAATCTGATAGAGAGGGAAATGTTGAAATATGAAAGGGAGACTTCCTAGAGCAATATCCTTGAGAAGGTGAGGGAATGAAGTCTAATATATATATATGGCTTTAACAGAAGATTGCATAATTCATCTTGAGTATAGTGGGAAAGTCAGAGTATATGTGTTCAAATGGTAGAAAATGAGTGAATTTGATAGGGAAGCTTATGGAAGATATGCCATCAAGTAAAAATAAGATGGGGGAAGAAGAAGGTATAAAACAGTCAATTAAAAGTGGGAGAGTGAATGGACTAGGGAAAATATTGTATCTGCTAGCCACCATTAAGGACCTACTTAAAGTTCATGGTCAAGAAGTGATTAAGATTACATAAATCTCTGGCAATTTAACCCAATGCTTGGAGAATATCATACTCAATCCCTGCTTTTTAAATACACTGGTATAATATACAACCTATTTTAAGCTCATCAGTTTGACTAAGGATGTCATTTTAGTTCTGTACCTCATAATCTTTGTCTATTGTGGTTGAAATGTACAATCCTCCACTACATTTTTTTCCAAATTCTTAAAAGCTATTACTATTACTATCAGTCTCCTACTTTTAAAAAAATATATCATGACACTTAGATCACTTTTTAGTTGTATGAAAATAACTCAATTATAATGCAATCTAGAACTTACAGATGAGTTTCTAAAATATAAGGCCAAAGATTTTTATTGTAGGTGAAGATGGTTCTTCATTTTGTTTAGTCTGATTATAAAACTGCTGGTGTTGGTTTACAAATATTATCACATATCACATAGAGTTATATAACTCTACATTTTTACTTGTTTTTATTGCAAGTATGTGCTAGTGCTAATGACACATTAATGTGCAATAATTCATCTTTTCAACATGGCTTAATTAAACATGTCTTCTAACTTCAAATTTTTAGGTGGCTCAAGATTTAACCACTCAAATGACCTGAAGAACTTTTTTTCTAGTTTTGCGGATTTCTTTGCTTTTTGCTTCTTCCTCTTCCCATCCACCTTTCTACCTTACCTCCAACCTCCATCATAAATTAGAGAGTACTGAATTACAAGATTAGAAGAAGCACAATAAAAATTTCTTAGTATACATTTTAAACTTGTGGGTCTCGATTGGAGAATGAGGGGACTGTACAGTTGTTAGTGTTCACAGTTAATTCTGATATGGTATATACTGCCTGACATCTCTCATCTCTGGTTCAGAAAGCACTATGACTAGAAAAAAACAGAATCTGCTTTTTAATAACAATAAACAATTTCTAGAGCAATGGTTGTCAAACTTCATTGTGTATGCAAATTTTCTTTTATATCTGCCAGCCACCATTAAGGGTTCTTGTTAAAACGAGAATTTTGTTTTACTAAGTTGGGCTGGGCCTGGGTTTCTGAATTTCTTATAAGCTCCAAGGTGATGTCAGTACGTCTGGTCTACAAATGTGAGAGAGGCAAGGTTGTACAGCATAAACACATTTTCACTTGTATGACACTGTTTATTCTTTGGAGATAGAATAATAAAGCAAGTTTTCAATTATTCGTCATTATTTTATATACACTGTAGATCAACCCAGGAAGACTCTCATTTTCAAAAATACCCTATGCTTCCTTGCTCACTGCCTAGAAGTGTACAAATAGAGAACAAAAACTAACACCAAGCAAATTTTCCAAATATAGTATTATAAATTTCAAATAGCTGTTGTTTGGACTTATTTATATCATTGCTCCCTTATACAAATTTAGTAAATAGCAAACCAAATAAATGTCTGTAATCAGATGCATGCTGTTTTAAAAAAAAAATTCTCTCAAGATTTAGATAATCTCTCTTATTGGATAATACTTCACATTTACGTAAAACACCCAGAATATAGAGGAAGACAGTGATAGAATAAAGTAAATTTCTTTAAGAATAAATAAAAGTATTTTCCCCCTCAAACTTTTATTGAATTATTTGAAAATGAAATATTAGGATCTAGAACAGTGGTTGGCAAACTCATTAGTCAACAGAACCAAATATCAACAGTACAATGATTGAAATTTCTTTTGAGAGCCAAATTTTTTAAACTTAAAACTTCTTCTAACACCACTTCTTCAAAATAGACTCGCCCAGGCTGTGGTATTTTGTGGAAGAGCCACACTCAAGGGGCATGTGGCTCGCAAGCTGTAGTTTGCCGACCACGGACCTAGAGCAATGCTACAAACTAAAGCTGATTTATAAATAGTCTGCCTTTAAAAAAAAATAAATTAATGGGTAGTAGTAATGCTACATATGTTTGTTTAAATCAATTGGTAAGAAAATTACAGAAGACATTTGAAAATAATTAAATGAATTTACCTGCTCCTGGATGTTTAGAAAGTATAGCTTTAGCCAACACTGTCCCTAGTAGCTTTGAAACTGAAATCCGCACATCATAATTGGAACCTTCAAATGACTTAAAACATAGCGTAGCCACACTGTCCAGATCTGTACTCCACATGAAGCTGGCCTCATTCTGAAGTTCAAAGAGACACTACTCAAGCAGAAAAATAGAAATTAATGAAAAACAAAATGTAAGTATCAAGTTCCGATTTAAGTAAATTATAGAAAATATTAAGATTTAACAAAAATAGAACACAAACCCAAAGTCTCTAAGTAATGATTACAGGGACAACAAGTGAATACTTATGAAAAATCACAAAAGCAATGTGTTCATATAGTGTGGGAGGACAGGGCTGTAAAAGATGTCCTTAGGCCCGGCCAGGGTGGCTCAATGGCTGAGCATCGACCTATGAACCTGGAAGTCGTGGTTCAATTCCCGGCCAGGACACATGACCAGGCTGCAGGCTCAATGCCCAGTGTGGGGCATGCAAGAGGTAGCTGATCAATGATTCTCTCTCATCATTGATGTTTCTATCTCTCTCTCCCTCTCCTTTCCTCTCCGAAATCATTAAAAATGTATTTTTTTTAAATGTCCTTAGAACCACTCTATTGGCTATGAGCAATTGTGAGAATAATTCCATCATAAACAACTTTACTATACTATCTATTCAAATATGTTAATAAGGCATGATAAAAACAAAAACAAATCACTTTCAAAAAGCATAAATCTTATATGTAAATTTTAGTTTATACAATTCCAGGAAAGAAGCTTAGTAGCAAAGGAATACTGCGTCTGATCATTTGAACTCACTACATTGGACAATGAGTGCACTGCTAATTACTAGATGAACCTTGGGAAATTCATATAACTCTCTGGGTCCCAGTTTCCTCATGTTAAAGTGAGACAGCTGATTACTACCAAAGTTGCAGCTCTAAGATCATGGGGCCGTTTCCAGTTTTTTCACAGGAATAAACTGATTTATTTTTCAAACAGAAATTCTGCTTATAGGCCATTTCACCTTTGCAGCAGCACAACGAACAGCCATGGACCTATCGGTTAAGCAGGATCTGGCAGCTTTATAAATATCTCTGTGGCAAGGTATAGCAGCAGCTCCAAGTCCTTTCAATATATTTTGCAGGCTCAACATAATCTCATATCGACCTTGAGACTACCAAAGAGAAAAGAAAAAATTTAAAGAATAGAAGGGAAAAAGTACTGTGAAGAATAGCATTAAGCACTGAAATTTATATCATAAATGAGAGAAATACTCAAGGTTTTTGTACACACAGACCAACCTATTCTGATATCAACAAACATTAATATTTGGTATTTTATAAATATATTACACTTCAACACAATACAAATTTCATAATGTTGATGTGAAGATTAAGTAAAAATATATGAAAAAGTGCCTAGCACAAAGCTTGCATGTTTTTAAATAGCCAATAAATGGTTGCTATAAAGGAGGCGACAAGGTAAGAGTGCAGGGTCTGACAACTACTAGATACCTGACCTTGAACAAATCTACTTATTTAACTGTTAAATGGAGCTAATAGTACCCACTTCTTAGGTTGTCCCAAGGCTCAACAGTTACTACATGCAAAGTACTTAGAATAGTGCCTGAAATACAGTAAATGTTCAATAAATCTTATAATTATTAATACTTTTATCATTTATTGATCCAAGTAGTTTAACTCAGAGGTTAGAAGTCTGGGCTTTAGATTTAAAAAGACCTGGGTTTGAGTCTTGGCTCTGACCCTTAGTATCTGTGTGACTTTAAGTTGTTCTTACTTCTTTCTTCATCTATAAAATGAGGTTAGGTGAACTGCATAGAGCCAGTGTAAGAAGCCCGTTGGGAAGACATTCACTACAGGGCTTGGCACATAATAAACACTAAAGAAGTAGTTGCTGCTTGTATTACTGATGTTTTACTAAATGCCCCAAATGATTTCAACATCCCAGGAAGTTCAGTACACTGAAGATGGAAGACAAAAGTCAACATATTTTATATTTTGAAATTTTCCATATTTTTATCTTGAAACACTAAAAAAAAAAAAAATTGCATGTAACTTCCAATATTTTTATAAATTACTTCTGCATGGTATTCTAGATTGTTTTTCTAAGTAAGGTAAGAACAAGAACTGGGGTAATGTTTTTATATTTAAAGATGCTGAGGTATCCCTGAATATTAAGAATAAGGTTTAAAATTTTTGATATATAAACATACAAATGCTTTCATTTCAATCTGATCAGTAAAGCTCTAGTTGGCAAGAGACTACAGTATCTTGGGAATCAAATAAAGGGACAGCTACAGAAATAGAGGGTGTTCTACGGCAGTAAATGATGCCAACAAATCAATGAGACTAAGACTGAGCATATACTCCTCTGACAAGTAAAAGGCCATCCAGATCCTGGTCCTATCGGGTCTAGTAATAATTAATGTCGTTTTTAAACATTCGTTTAAAATCTTGCTTGGCGTTGACTTGTATTGACATAACCTTCAAACACGTGGTATCTACAGAACATGTGAAGTGCAATTAACAAGTTTTGCTTGAAAAAGTTTGTGTTTGGTTTGGTTTTTGTTGCAAAACTAGGGCTAAGAAGATGGCGGATGAAGAGCATATTCGGCACTGCATGCTTTACGAGTTCCAATTAGGAAGAAAAGCAAGTGAGGCTGCAAAAAACATCTGTAGTGCTCTTGGTCAAGAGGCAGTTAGCGCCAGAAAATGCCAGCATTGGTTTGAGAAATTTCGCGAGGGAAATTTTTTGTTAGATGACAAGAGTGGTCGAGGCCGTGTGTCCAATTTTGATCAAGAAGCTCTTCAAGCTCTTTTGGTTCAAAATCCTCAAATTACCCAACAAGAGCATGCGGCAACTTTAAATTGTTCACAAAAAACAATTTCCAATCAATTGCGTGCACTTGGCAAAGTCCAAAAGTTTGGAAAATGGGTTCCTCATGAGTTGACCGACAACAACCGTAATCAAAGAGTCACAATTTGCAGTTCGCTCCTCTCTCGTCAAAACCGTTTGCCGTTTTTAGAGCAAATTGTTACCGGAGATGAAAAATGGGTGCTGTATGTTAATTTGAAAAGGCGGCCTCAATGGTTGGACAAAAATGAGGCTCCGCAGCCCACGCCAAAACCTGACTTGCATGCGAAAAAAGTGATGTTGTGTGTTTGGTGGAATTTTAAAGGAATTCTTCATTATGAACTTTTACCATCTAACCAAACCATTACAAGTGCAGTGTATAGTGCCCAATTGGAAAGGTTAGCCCAAGCTTTTAAGAGAAAAAGAACACGCGCTGATTAATCGGAAGGGCGTAATTCTTCACCACGATAACGCACGACCGCATACTGCAAGAATCACTGCTGAAAAACTGCGCCAGTTGGAATGGGAAGTTCTCCCTCAACCTGCATATTCTCCTGATATTGCCCCTTCCGATTACCATTTGTTTCATTCTTTGCAAAACTTTCTTCTTGGAAAAAAATTTAATAATGAAGAATGCCTCAAAAATGCATTGACCGAATTTTTTGCATCAAAATCACAAGAATTTTACAACAGAGGGATTAAAATGCTTCCTGAGCATTGGGCACAAGTAGTAGAAAACAACGGCAACTATATTGTTGATTAAATTTTGTTGTATTGTTTAAATAAATTCGATTTAAAAAAGTATTAGAAAACGACATTAGTTATTACTAGACCTAATACTTACATCCTCCATGGTCTTTCCAACCCTGAGTATATTCCTTACTCCCTTCCGGTGCTGGTATAATACTAATCCATCCATTAGGCATACAGTAGTTACCAACTATGTATCTGGATCCTTGGCATCAAGTACTTACTCTGGCACTAGTAAGTAGTATCAGATGGAAGAGGTGATAGGAGAGATTGGTCTACCAAACACCTTAGTTTTGCCCATTTGTCTTTGTCTGAATACATGAAATTCCATTACTGCATTACTGCTTTTCTCATACAAAGTACATATATATCGCCTAGAAATAGTTCATTTATGGTTCTATTTCTTTTTTTCATTCTTTTTAAAATCTTTATTACTCAAAGTATTACATACTTTTTCCCCATTGACTCCCTTCCCCCTGCCAGGCCTTCACCACAGTATTGTGTCCATGGCTTATGCATGTAGGTTCTTTTGTTGATCTCTACCACTCCGTTTCGGATAATTGTCTGTCTGTTCCAAGCTTCTATTTCTATGGATCTATTTTGTTTATCAATTTATTGTGTTTATTAGATTCCCCATATGAGTGAGATCATGTGATACTTGACTTTGACTGGCTTATTTCGCTTAGCATAATACTCTTCAAGTCCCTCCATGCTGTCTCGAAGGATAAGGGATCCCTCCATCCTCCCCCTCCTTTTTTTTTTTTTTTTTTTACAGCTGCATAGTATTCCATGGTAAAAATGTACCACAGCTTTTTTATCCACTCATCTACTGATGGGCACTTGGGCTGTTTCCAGATCCTAGCTATTATAAATTGGGCTGCTATGAACATGAGGATGCATATATTCTTTCCAACTGGTGTTTTGGGTTTCTTAGGATATATTCCTAAAAGTGGAATGTATAATATATTTCTAAACATATATATATATGCTTGTCATAGGTAAAAACAAAAACCATAAGACCTATGAAATACTATCATTTTATCCTTTGGTCAAACTTGTAGTTACTTACCTCTGCACTCTTCATAGCTTTAAGAATATTCCCCACTGTTTCAGTAAAAGTGTTACTCAGTATTCTACCCAACTTCTTGTACAAGGAACCCAAACATACCACAGCAGCACTGAAACAACATTTAAATTAGAAATTAGTCATGAATGGAAATAACAGAAATAAAAAAAAATAACTTAGAATAAAGGTGACTTTTTAATTTTATTTTTAAAGGATAAAATTTCCCAGAATCTACGCCACTGTTAAATTCTAAGGCATGACACTTAGGTGACTATAAAATATTACATGTTATTTTTTAAGTTATATATATATATATATATGTATATATACACATATATACACATATATATATTTTTTATTTCAGAGAGGTAGAGAGAGATCGAAACATCAATGATGAGAGAGAATTATTGATCAGCTCCCTGTGGGAGTGCACTGACCACCAGGGGGCAGTTCCTGTGTTGGGCATCTGCCCCCTGATGGTCATAGCAACTGGTTATTCCACCTTCAGTCAATTTGCATATTAGGGTTTTATTATATAGGATACTTAAAGACAGTCTTAAAGATAAAAGATAAGAAAAGCAAGAAATAATACTCTCAAGTCTGAAAATTTCATCAGAAAATATATTGATATAAGCTAAAATTAAATCAACAAAAATTTCTGAAATTACTATTGTGAAATTATACATGGCAAATCAACTTTCCTAAAAACACAGGTAATAAAAATGATCTGAATTCTATGAAAAAGAAACTAAGCTTCTATTTTTAGGATCTTAGAAGAGTATTTTTCTATGACATTTACTATTAATTTTAACTATTAAGAACACACAAAAAGGATATCCAAAATATGCGTGAAGAATTTAAAATACCTTTTCTTAAATATTCAATTGCTAAAATTTTAGTGAGATAGTTTTCATTTCTAAATTCTAGACTTCAAATATGCTTAAAATAGTTTCTTAAAGATCTCTTTCTCAGTCAATAGGAATATCTTAGATTACTTTTAAAGTTGGATTTAAAAATGATTAAAAATTTTATATTTTGTTTCAAAATAATTATTAAGTAGTTTGGGATATTTATAAAAATGATTATTATAAGGAAGCACTATTTTATTCTTGTTCAGTTTTATTATCTAACTTACAGTTTAGTGGGAAGGTAGCTTGGAGAGTCATCTTTGCTACGAATAAGATCATTACATTTATCGATTGTCTCATAGACAGAGAATGTGTCTCCAATACCATAAAGAATGCCTAGATTCTTGGCAAGGAGTCTGCGAGTAGGAGGCCCTGGGGAGCTGTTCAACAAAGACAGGAGCTGCTCGACAAGAGTCTTCTGTTTCTCCTTCACATCACTCTAGAAAGGAAGGTAACAAAAAGACAATTCCAAGTCAATATTTTAATTACATGCAATTCTCTATTTCCCCCCATATATTGAAGAACTAACTGAAAGGCTCTAGAAAAGTGTAAAATTATTTTGATTAAAAATTTCAAGTAAATTGGTGGTGTGATCCTCATAAAACATGAACAGGCAGTTTGCTACCCTACTGGTTATCTCCACAAAACAAATTCTGGACCACAACATACTGTAGTCTCTATGAACAAAGACAATGGCTCTATTTCTTTTATATCTTCCTTCTTATGTTTGAAAGATAGAGCAAATTGCCGGGACCAGTTTGGCTCAATGGATAGAGCGTTGGCTTGGGGACTGAAAGGTCCCGGGTTTGATTCCGGTCAAGGGCATGTACCTTGGTTGTGGGCATTTCCCCAGTAGGGGGTGTGCAAGAGGCAGCTGATCGATGACTCTCTCTCATCGATGTTTCTAACTCTCTATCTCTCTTCCTTCCTCTCTGTACAAAATCAATAAAATAAAAATAAAATTAAAAAAAAAGAAAGATAGAGCAAATTTGTATTTTAACAAGAGCTTCTTAGTTATTAAGCTCCCACTCTATATACAGTTGCATAAAAAGCAACAACCTATAACCCATTATCAGAGCTGACCGTGTAATGGTCACTTGTTTTACTCAGACCTTTTTCTAAGTTCAGTGCAAGTTTCTTTTTGCAAGCTTATGCACCTAAATGCCAATAATGTTACTCCATTTTACTTGTCTGCTCTCTCAAAAAGGAATAGAGAATATTATTACAATGGCAATGGTATTCAGATGCTCACCAAGACTTAAACTTCCCCAGTGAAATATCTGTTAATTAAGTGTGTGGATTTTGTCTTTTGTTAAATTCTAAATGTCTCTCTGCCAAAACCAGTTTGGCTCAGTGGATAGAGCATCAGTCTGTGGACTAAAAGGTCTCAGGTTTGATTCCGGTCAAGGGCATGTACATTGGTTGCGGGCACATCACCAGTAGGGGCTGTGCAGGAGGCAGCTGGTCGATGTTTCTCTCTCATCGATGTTTCTAGCTTTCTATCCCTCTCCCTTCCTCTCTGTAAAAAATCAATAAAATATATTTAAAATAAATAAATAAATTCTAAATGTCTTCATGAGTAGTGTCTTTGCACCATTTCTGCATTACAAATAGCATTGTTATTTTGTAGGAGAATATCCTTATATTTAGAGGTATGCAAAAAGTATTTAGAAATAAAGCAGAACTTCACATGGCTCAGTAAATCAATACATTAATCAAATATGGCAAAATATTAATAACTGCTGAATGTATATGAAGGGTATGACTGATTAGTTTTCTTTTTTTGTACCCATTTTATAAGCTTTTAAAAGGGAATATGGCCGGGACCGGTTTGGCTCAGTGGATAGAGCGTCGGCCTGTGGACTGAAGGGTCCCGGGTTCGATTCCGGTCAACAGCATGTACCTTGGTTTCGGGCACATTCCCTGTGGGGGGTGTGCAGGAGGCGGCTGGTCGATGTTTCTCTCTCATCGACGTTTCTAACTCTCTGTCCCTCTCAATTCCTCTCTATGTAAAATCAATAAAATACATTTAAAAAAAAAAAAAGGGAATATGTTTACTCAACAACTCTCTCATTAAAGGGCCCACACCTTTCTTTAACTTGAAACTCCTATGACATTATTTAGCACTATACTCCAGGGCTTCACACATATGGAGACACATATAGTACAGGATATAATGAAAATAAAATCAAATACAATGTAGTTTGTAGTTAGTTTCTGAAATAGTTTTGAGTAATATATAAAATATGGGCTAATTTTTATTGCTTTTTTGAACAGAATATATAAACTTTCTGTAACATTTCATTATAAAGTCTTAATAAGGTCTAGCATTTGAAAGCTAATTTAGGTTATTCTGAACAGAACAAGAAAAGCAAACCAAAGGAACAAAATATTATCTGGCTTACAGAAAAATACAAAAACCAGTTTTTACAGTTTTACCTACCCTGCTGGTTGCTAGCAAGAGCTTTTCCAAATATCTCAACCAATCAAAAATAAACTCTGCTTTATGAACTTCACCTAGTTGATTGTATGCTTCTTCATTCAGCAATAAGCTATGAGCTAATTCCATTCCTTGCAGAAAAATTCTAACTGGTCTTGATTGTTCTTATTAAACATCAGTCAATACACCTAAGAAAAAAACCTGTAACAGAGGAAAATAACATTTTAAAACGAGAGTGAAAAGGCAGGCAATCATAATGCTGGAAATTTTCCTCAGAATAGCACAAAGCATAATTAAATAGAGACATCTTTTATAACAGGTCTAAGAAGAAACTGGGAAAATTCCAATACTAAACTCCTTTTAACAAAGACATAAAATCCATTTTTTGTATTGTTTACTCCTTATTTTGGAAGCTGACAGGCAAAACAGAGTAGCATTATTGACATTCATATGCAAAAATGTGCTAACCAGAGAGACATTCCATTAAAATTCTGAAAATTTTGAGGTTAGACTACTCAAGTGTTTCATTGTAATACAGTAAACCTTACACTTTGTGGACCTCTATTTAATGAATTTCTAATAAACTGAACAAAATTTCCGGTCTGTATGTCATATGTGAAGATTAACACCGTGTTAATTTTAGAATGCTTTTAACCAAATATTTGCTCATAATTAAATTTAACAGGCTACTCTTTTGTTATTAATTCACCGTTTTTTTAAACAAATTTTAGCAAATGAATCATATTTTGGAAAAAACACTGTAGTAATTTTGCCAACATAAATAAATATGACATATCTACAACGAGAGCCTACATTTAAATCCAAGTCACCGTGCTTGGAAACAATGTTCAGTGAATGATTAGCATGTGAGCCCATCGAACCCAACACGGTAATTGGTTCTGTTGTCAGTAATTGGCTCTGCTGCGGCGGGAAGTGACTTTCTGCAGCAGTTTAACACACTGCCAGCTGATGTCCCCATGGGCACTAAGCCACTCCCACCGTGTGCAGTCACTTGGGTAATGGTGAGTACACCCATTTACTAGACCTATTCAGTATAAATTTTAAATTACAGTAATACATATAGAAAACTTTTTGGTGAAATTAAACTTTTGACACATAATGTTTTCATTACACAAATGTTTCTACATAAGTAAAAATAAGTAATCTAATTTGTCAATTTCTTAAGGTACACATTCAGAAAACCTACTCAACAACTTTGTTATATAACAGAATTTTGTCTGAATTAGTCCGTTATATCTAGGTCTTACTGCATAAAAATGGGTCATGGGTGCATATTAACAAATGACCAGATATCTAGACCTCTTACTAAAACTCTATAGTAAAGCTTCACACCTCCCTGGGCTTCACCTAAAAATATATACAGTCATTTACCTGGAGATCCAAACCAGGAGCAGAAGGTACTACTCCCGTTAGCATCTGTTCCCCTAGCCTAGTAAGACTGCTGTAGCTTGAGGCTAGCAGTTCTAGGAAAGAGTTCCAACTCAACCAGTAGTCTCCTTATCTCTGTGAGCCTTGTGAAAGTAAACTCGTTTTAGAAGGCACCTGGATGTTGTCCAGGGATTGCAGCAATAAAGACCATATCTCCTCTGACCTAGATCCAATGTAGCCTTCACTTTGCTGTAGCAAATAATCAACAAAGGACAGAGGATGTTTCATTTTTAAATTCATGAGCATCTCCTGAACATACCCTAGTGCCTTTCTGGAACACAAATAACAGAAAGTGCGTGTACACACACACACACACGCACACACGCACACACACACACACAGTTACATACTAATTTATGAGTCTGTGATCATGGAATTTTTTATTTTTAGAACATGCATGCTCAAGTATGTATTGGTAAAGTAGCATGATGTCTGCAACTCATTTTCAAATGGTTTAGCACAGTGGTCGGCAAACTGCGGCTCTCAGAGCCACATGCAGCTCACAAGCCGCGGTTGCTGATCACCGTCATATATTACACTACACTTTAACTCTTTGCACACAATATGCCACAATTGCCTAATCCTCACAGCTTCCAACTACAACATTTAGTCTAGTCCAGTGGTCAGCAAACTCATTAGTCAACAGAGTGTCAAACTGCGGCTCTCGAACCGCGGTTTGCCAACCACTGGTCTAGCAAACCTATTAGTCAGCCAGAAAATTTGGCAAAATGTAACAGTTGAATGTTGGTAGTGGGTAGGTGAGTTATCTTTTCTGTATTTTTTAAAAGATCATGGTAAGTTGGAAAAAATTATTGAAGAAAATAAATTTAAAAATACATAAGCTTGCTTTTAAAAACAAATTGTTAGTATTACATATAGGAGTGACAGGTATCAAGAATATTAAACACCAGAAAAGGCACCATATACATAATACATGAGCACTATATGTGTTGAAAAAGAATACTTCAACAATAAAGATAAATTTAAAAAAAAACAGGACTTTTATTTTTTTTTAAAAAGATGAGTACTCTTATTCAAGTATCAAAACTAAGTGGAGCCTGGCCAGTGTAGTTCGGTGGATACAGCATCAGCCCATTCATGGAAGGATTGTGCGTTTGATTCTGGTCAAGGGTATGTACTTGGGTTGCAGGTGTTGATCCCAGCCTCCGTGGGTGTGTGTGCAGGAGGCAACTAATCGATGTTTCTCACATCAATGTTTCTCTCTCTCTCTCCTTACTCTCTTCCACTCTTTAAAAATCAATTGAAAAAATAACTTCGGGTGAGGATAACAAAAAACCACTAAGTTTGATATTCTATCTAATAAATTAGTAATATGCAAATTGGCCATACATCCTATACACACGAGCCACGCTCACCAGCCAATCAGGAGCGAGTATGCAAATTAACCCAACCAATCAAGATGGCTGCATCCACGGAGCGAGCAGGAGGATTGGGTTTCCCCAGCAATGGAGGAAGCCAAGCTCCCCAGCCATGGCCTCTGCTCAAGACTACAAAGTTTCAATTATAGAAGGTAAATAAATCCCAGATATTAGGGCCTCTGATTGGGTTGCCAGGGGGCGTGGCTGGCCTGCAAACCATCACAGGCCCCTCGCCCAGGCTGCCACAAACTCCAAGGGAACCTCAAGCTTGATCCAGGACACCTTTCAGGGCAAACCAGCTGGCCCCCACTTGTGTACCAGGCCTCTATCCTATCTAATAAAAGGGTAATATACAGATTGACCATCACTCCAACACACAAGATGGCTGCCCCCAGGAGGACACAAGATGGCCGTCACAAGATGGCCAGCAGGGAAGGGCAGTTAGGGGTGACCAGGCTGGCAGAGGAGGTAAGTTGGGGGTGACCAGGCCTGCAGAGGAGGACAATCAGGCTAGAAGGGAAGCAGTTAGGTATCAATCAGGCTGGCAGGCAGAAGCAGTTAGGGGCAATCAGGAAGGCAGGCAGGTGTGCAGTTGAGAGACAGCAGTCCTGGATTTGATAGGGATGTCCGATTGCCCATTAGACATTCCTCAAAGGGTCCAGATTGGAGGGGGTTCAGGCTGGGCTGAAAAACACCCCCACCCCGTGCACAAATTTCATGCACCAGGCCTCTAGTCTATATTATAAAAGGCCAGTGGTTATAATGCCGTAATGACCAAATGACCTATCACCAGGAGGTGCACTGATGGGTTTCCTGGCATGGCAGGTCTGGATTCCCCCTCGATTTTACACACTGGGCCTCTAGTATCCTACCTAATAAAAGAGAAACATGCAACTGACCATACCTTTGCTATGCCCACCAGCCAATCAGGGCAAGTATGCAAATTATCCCAACCAAGATGGCAGTTAATTTGCACATCCAGGCCAGAGCGAAGACTAAAGACAGTGTAGAAAGAAGCCAAGTGCTGTAGAAGGGAGTGAAGCTGCAGAGAAGCAAGCAAGTGGGGCGGGGGAGAAGGGAGGGAAGAAGGCAGAGTGGGGAGAGGGAGGGAAGAAGGAGGGGTGACGACTGCAGCTGGAAGCCCTATTGCAGAAATCTTCCTGCAACAGTCCCCTAGTTATAAATAAAACTCCAAGCTAAACATAAATAGGTCATTGGAACTGCACAGAAATATAGATAAAATGCTACAAGTAATTAAACAAAAACATTTAAAATATATTGTTCCTATTGACCTAAACAAATATCAATCTTTTATAGAGAAGCCAGTAAGTAAAGATGTTTTAGAAAATCATATGGGAGATATGGAGAAGGTTTCCCATTTCCTTCTTTCCTCTCTCCCTTTCTCTCTCCCTCCCTCCCTCCCTCTTTCTTTCTCTTCTTCCCTTTTATTTTTCTCCCTGAGAGTTTACTGGTATAAAATTACCTACAGTATAATAATTGTAATTATTAAATAACAGAAAAGAGCCTCTTTTAAAGACAGTAGTCACAAACTGATACCAAATTAACCAAATTTGGCTTGTAATGAATTAGGAAAAAAATTAGTTACTAATATTTAAACATAAGATTTATACAAACACCTGGGTCCATGTTCCCATACAGCTCCTCTCAGATTAGAGGAGCAGGGACTCTTGAACAGGTCTCAGTTGCCACCAGGCTGGCACTATTCATTTACATTATTTGCCAACTTCTATGGGTATTTAAATTTTCAACTCCTATTGCATCCTCTGGCTTGGGCCAATCATCTAAATTCTGACTGTGATGCTGCCCCTGAGGCCAAAAGACAGGTTTTACCCATCCACCAAACATCTCCTGCCTGTGTGCTGCTTTAGCCATCTAGGTCGTCCCTCTCAGTCAGTCCTGTCCGTCTGCCAATACCATCCATGACCTAACTCTGACAATTCTCAAGAAAAGTACATATTAGGTTATTTTTAGAAATGTCAATTTTAAGGAACAAGACTAATACAAACAATGGTGTTAACAAATCACTTTACCAGACAACATGAATTTTAGCTTCTTGTTTAAAAAAACACTTCCTTTCCTTTCTTAAATTAGCATAGGGAATTGATCAAAATATAAACAATTAAGGATAAAGGTAATAAATGCTAGAGAAATAATTTCTGGAAGAAACCGAGTGTACAGAAGGAGAAAAGCAATATCTATGACGGTGTAAGGGGAAAAAATAATCTCAATGTCATAGAGAAAATTTCTTATAAACACCAGGCAAGTCAAAATCCTATCTTA